GACACAAAAAAGTAAATTGTGAGAGATTTTTGGGAAAGTGAGCCTGTCAGCTCTCTTTATACTTCTCAACAATACCATTAATGCCTTTAGAGATCTACTTACAACAGATTCAAGACATGCGACCATTCTGTTGTTAGAAATGAGGTACCCTGCACCAAGCATCAAGAAAGGAGCTGGCAATAGTAAGAGTCTTTTGATGTCTGCCTTCTAATCCACAACCATAAGAATACAAGGCCAATATCCATCCCATCTCTAATAAATCATACAATCTCCATTTGGAGTCATGTATGTATGGAGTCCTATGAACTAAGGATCAGATGAAATATCTTGTCCACATTCAGTTTTCTCTTGAGAAAGAAGAGGAAAGAAAGAAAGCAACAAGAGTTCAGTGATGGGGCCTTTACATAGCTGCAGGTATGAGGCCCTGGGTTTGATTCCCAGTGCTGAAAATAAAGTTTCTTCTGGGTATGGTTACAGGGACAAGGGGATGGCTGCTGACAGATTCCACAATACTATAGATAAGAATCTGTTTCTGAATATTAAGTGGTTGGTGCTGGGGGGTGGGGTGGGGAATCTCTAGAAGTTACTCAGGGCTTATCTGGAAGTTCTGGGACCTGAAGAGTCTGTAGTATCTTTAAGAAACTTAATTTGTCCCCTTTGTGCATTCCTTAGAAGCTCAAACATTAGGATTTAGGAATTCCTCCTTGAAAAACATAGTGCTATTAATTAGAAATGGTCCTTTTGAAAATGAACATGGTGGGCTTCGTGACTCACTCCAGTAATGCTACCATTAAGAAGGTACAACCATGAGGAGGCGTTCAAAAGCATCCTCAGCTACTTACTGAGGCCAGCCTGGGTTACAGGGGGGGGGGCTATGGAGAGAGAAAGAGAGAGAGACAGAGAGAGAGAGAGATCTTGTAGCCAGATAAGCACAAGCCTGTTTTCTCAACACTCCATATGTGAAGACAGAAGGATCAGGAGTACAAGACCATTCTTAACTACATATTAAGACCACCCTGGGCTACATGAAACTGTTTGGAAAAGAAATGGAGGAAAAAATGGTCCTCATAAATGTTAAAGAAGCCTCTTGCCTCTAGAATTCTTTCCCTAATATCCCCTTGCTACTATCACCAGCATAAAGAGGCAAGTAGTATGCATGCAGGTTAAGTGAGAGGCTTCTCAGCAGCATCTGTAACCCTTGAACTGAGTTCTCAAAACAAACAAATGAACGAACAAACAAACCCCTGCTTTAACTGAAGGTGAAAAGAGAGAGGAAGAACTATCACTAACATATTTTTCTGAATTCTCAGGAGTAGGATATGGACAGGAGTGTAGGGAAATTTTAAATATAAGCATAGGACTAGAAAGAGTTAAGTGTGGCCAGGTTGTGCAAAGTCAAAGCCCGTCTGTATTTTAAACTTTGATATTTTGCTCATTGTGGATAGTGTTTTCAGTATCCTCTTATACTTTGAACATAAGGTAAGTAGCTTTACTTTCTTTGGCTTAGTTATTCCTCAGCCTGTTTTTGAAAAACAAGAATCAGAGAGGTCAAATATTTTTTTCATGGATATCAGATTAGAAAGCTGGAAGAGCTGGGATTTGAAGCCAAGCTGATTTGACTCTAAACTTATGCATTTAAAAAGATAAACCTATCGGTCTTTTAACTGTGTCCATAAAGAATCATCTTGAACTACTCATAGTAAATAATCCATGAAATATAGGTGCCTTCACTTGCACAGTAATGGGAGAGATGTCTCAATATTTCCCCCCAAACTTAAAAAGTATGAACACTACTCCAAGGGCCAGATGCTTCTAAGAGGTCACATTGGCTTTCTGCCTGACTGTTATACTGTGTCCCTCAGTATTCATAGGGGGATGGCTTCAGGACATATAATTCCCCTTTTCCAGAGGATACCCAAATCCTTGAATGATCAAATCTCACTTAAAATGATCTAATATTTACATTATTTATGTACATATTCGCATCTAGATTACTTACAATACACAATAAACACAAATGCCATAGTAAGGAATAGTAAAAAAGTCTAATAGAGATATAGATTCAACTTTTCTTCAGTCTGCTGCTAGTTGATGCCTCATCTGTAGAAACTGAGACCTGACTTTAGTAATTGTTGCCTTTGATAACTCTCCATGCTCTTAACTGTCGAGCTTTTTCTCCACTTCCCACTAGTCTCTTTATCTCTTTCTCAGTTTTTAAAGACAGGGTTTGTCTGTATAACAGAGCTCTGGCTCTTCTGGACTCCCTTTGTAGACCAGGCTGGCCTCAAACTCACAGAGATCCGCTTGCCTCTGCTTTCAGAGTACTGGGATTAAAGCTGTGTGTCACCACACCGGGTCCCACTAGTCAATTCTTATAGTATGGAGTACTATTGAGCCATAAAGGAAAATGAGATTATGTCATTTGATGGAAAATGGATGCAACTGGAAATCATTAAGTTAAATAAATCAGGTACATAAAGGTAAATTCATGTATTTTTCTCCTATTTGTGGGTTCTACAGCACTTTTTCTATCTTGTGTTTTTTAGAGAGGGTTTCACAATCCCAGTCTGGTCTCAAACTCACTATGTAGTTGAGGATGACTTTGACCTTCACATCCTCCTCCCTCTTCCTCCCAAGCTAGGATTACCAGGTATGTGCCAATTCATTCAGCCTCCTACATACTAGGAAAGCACTCTATCAACTGAGCTGTATTTCTAGACCTAGAATTGTTTTTATTTATTTTTTATTTGTTTGGTGCGTGCGTGTGCGCATGTGTGATATTGCTAGTTGAGGTATCTCCTCCCGATCTCCTTGTTGGAAAGTAGTATATCTGTTCCATACGTCTTCATTGTTTCCAATAAGACAGTCCTGAAGCCAAATTATGTTACTTCCACTGGCTTATAGGATGAAGTCCAAAGCTCCATAGCACAATAAAGTTTTCCACGATGCAGTTCATATGTTTTTCTTTTTATTTCATGTCTCCTATCCAGTCAGTCCATGATAAAGTGAGGTAGTGTTTGCAATACATTTATATTTATCTGCTTTATGCTTTAGGACTCCCCCTCCCCATCCAGCTTCTTCTTTTATTGTTCTTGTAAACACCAGCTTTTCTTTTAAGATTCCACTCTCACTGTCACCATCTGAGGAGATCTAACAATATGCCTCCAATATAGCCATTACATTATTGTATGCAGCACTCAACATTTTATCACACTTACACATTTCAGTATCTCCCTTTCCCTTTTCAACTTCAAGCTTCAAGAAGGTAAGGCCTTTTGAAACTTTAATATTCGCATTCAGAATACTTAGTACAATGTCTAGCATATGGAAAGAATAAACACTGAGCCAGGGAATAAAGCCAAAGTTTGTTTTTCCTTTGAGACTGGAGTTTCATGTATAGCAGGCTGTCCTCTATCTCTCTATGTAGCCAAGGATGACCTTCAACTTCTGATTTTCTTGCCTTTACCACCAGAGTACTGGGCTTATAGGCAAGTGCCTACATGATTCATGCAGTCTGAGGACTGAACCCAGGGCCTCATGCATGCTAGGCAAGTACTCTGTCAACTGTACCCCCATTTAAAAAAAAATTGGTAGAGTCTGCAAATATATACTCCAACTCTGCTTAAAAAACAAAACAAAACAAAACTACCATACATTCCAATAAAGAAGTCTAAATTAGGGCTGGAGAGATGGCTCAGAGGTAAAGAGCATTGTCTGCTCTTCCAGAGGTCCTGAGTTCAATTTCCAGCAACCACATGGTGTCTTCCAACCATCTATAATGTAATCTGGTACTCTCTTCTGGAGTGTAGGAAAACATGCAGATAAGACATTTCACACATAATAAATAAATAAATTTAAAAAAGAAGTCTAAATTAGTGAGGCTTTCTCATACTTTGCCTTATACCTGGGTTTGGACAAAACAGATACTAGAAAGTGTGGATATGGATTACACGAAGCAGTTTTATGGGTTCAGTTAATTTCTTTTAATTTCTTAGTGATTTAAAGGCAACATCTTTTCAAAGTGCTATGAAACCAGATTTATTACTTTTGGTTCCTGTCTTAGTCCATTCAGATTGCCGTAATAAAATGTAACAGCTGGTAGTCTGCGAACAACACATGTTTATTTTTCATAGTTCAGGAGGCTAAATCCAAGGTCAAGGTGCTAGCAGGTTTGGAGCTGAGGGCCTTCTTTGTGGTTTGATGTGTCATCCTAACTTTTTTATATGTATGAGTGTTTTGTCTGCATGTGTGTCTATGCACCTCATCTGTACAGTGCCCACAGAAGCCAGAAGACACAGGTCCCCTGGAACTGGAGTTAGGAATGGTTATGAGCCATGTGGGTGCTGGGAATCCAACCCAGGTTCCCTGCAAGCTTACTCAGGGCTCTTTTAGTTATTGTGGTTACTTTCAGACAGGGTCTCTAAATTATGCAGTCTTGACTGACCTGGAACTAGCTTTATGGATATGGACCAGGTTGCTCTTGAACTCACAGAAATCAGCCTGCTCTTGCACTCTTCCCACCCCAAGTGCTGAGATTAAAATAATGTGCCTAACAAGCCAGTGCTTTTAAACACTGAGTCACCTCTCCAGCCCTCTATTTTTCATGGTTTTTAATCACAGAGTCATAGAGATCCCAAAAATATTGCCTTTGTTGTTGTTGTTGTTTTATTTTTGTTTGTTTTTCTAGACAGGGTTCTCTGTGTAGCCTTGGCTGTCCTGGACTTGCTTTGTAGGTCAGGCTGGCCTCGAACTCACAGTGATCTGCCTTGCCTCAAGGCCTCCCGAGTGCTAGGATTAAAGGCATGTGCCACCAAGCCGGTGCTTTGTCTGTTTTTATCCTATTCACAATGTTTTATTTAGGGGGCAAGGTGAACAATGGTATAACTTTGGTTGGTGTGAAAAGGTGATAGTAGGGAAAACAACCCTTGCAGGTTTGTTCTGCATTCTAATTTTAAAATTATGGCTAATGCATTGATTTCCTTATGATATTCCCCCTCTAGAAACGTGCTTACAAGAGCTATGTTCGAGCCCTTCCTCTGCTGAAGAAAATGGGCATCAATTCCATTCTCCTGCGGAAAAGTATTGGTGCTCTCGAAGTGGCCTGTGGCATTGTCATGACCCTGGTACCTGGGCGTCCCAAAGATGTGGCCAACTTCTTCCTGCTCTTGCTGGTGTTGGCTGTGCTTTTCTTCCACCAGCTGGTTGGTGATCCTCTCAAACGTTATGCACATGCGCTGGTGTTTGGAATCCTGCTCACTTGCCGCCTGTTGATTGCCCGCAAGCCTGAAGATCGGTCTTCTGAGAAGAAGGCTTTGCCTGAGAGTGCAAAGGAGCAACTCTCCTTATATGAGAAGGCCCCACAGGGCAAAGTGAAGGTGTCATAGAAAATTGGAAGTGCAAAAGTGGACCTTCTAGGCAGTTCCTCCTTAACTAAACCCAAGAAGATATCAGTGCAGGTTTTCATTTGATGTATTTATCTTGGGTGGAAAGAGAAAAATATAATCTGCAAGTTAAATTGGCTTGTGTACATCTATACCCTAAAATTAACACCCCACATTGACATTCATTCACCACCTTTAATCACTCTGGAACAACGTTCACATCTTGCTGCATGTACATGTATATGGCTACTATTGAGGTGTATTTGTGAGATGGACTCCAGCAAGCATGTGACTCTGAGAGTATGTGTGGAAAAATGTGTTTAAGTCCTATGTGTATGAGAATACATGCATGTGGAGAGGAGGCTCTGATCTTCAACTAATCCTGCACAGCTATCCTTCCCTCTAAAAATCGATTCCTGCAAAGGTAGAATAAAAGAATCCTCCCGTAAAGAGAATTCTTTTCTGGTAGAAAGCAAGTAACCTATTCCTTTGTGGGGTGGGAAACCTTCTCTGGGTTAAGCTGTAAACTTAAACTCATAATATTAGGAGAAGAATTTCTTCAATTTAATTAGCCTCTAGCTCAACTTTTAAGTTTTAAACACTCAACATCAAGTTTAATTAAAGCAAGGGATATATGCAGCCAATAGACAGTCTGATTCTTCAAGCCTTGCAGAGGGGGTTCCTCTTTACCTTTGTCTGAGCCCAAACTACTGAGCTCTTTGGCTAGCAGTTTGAAATTCAGTTTAGTAACCTTTTATTAGACACCTTCAAATTTGGTTTTAAACCCAGAGCTGCTTCACTTTCACCATTCTCAGTAGTCAACCAGGATTTGACAGTTTCCCTACTGTTTCCACCAAGAGACCAGGGATTGATCCTGTTAAGTTCCCCTTTCCAGCCCTGGTGTTTTTCTGAATCCTGCAACTGAATAGAGAGGAAATCACCAGTGTTGATCTGTGGGAAAAGTTCTCTACTCCTACCAATCCCTTTGCTAATATTAACAAAGTCCAAAATACCTGAGAATTGTCTATTTTGCACCTCTTCAGCATTCCAGTGGGGGGAGTTTACCTGGGGGAAGGACATTTGACATGGGTTAGTTAGAATGAGCAGTATGAAAATTTGCTTTCATGGTTACATACTGTTGTTTCTCTTTCTTAATTGTGCTTTGGTGGTTTTAATATTGTGCCAGGGATGGGAAAGGGGTTGGGGGTTGTGTGTGGGGAGAGTGCTTACTGTATTTTCTTCGGTGTTACTGTTCTTGGTAATTGATACCTGTCTTCTTTCACTCATTCTTTCAAAATAAAGATTTTTGAAATTTGGAGGACATGGTGTGGATGTGGACTGAAAATCTGGAAAGAAAAGTTCCTATAATCAAGGGACTTAGATTTTTCTGTCTGTGTGAAATTTTTGAGTGTGTGTGTGTGTGTGTGTGTGTGTGTGTTTATTTGTTTTAAGACAAGGTCTCACTGTGTAGCCTAAACTGTCTTCACAGACATTCATTTGCTTTAGATCACAAATATTGGGCACCCAGGCTGTACCACTACACCTTGCCCAGGTACATGCTTTCTCTCTCTCTCTCTCCAAAACAAGGTCTCACTATATAGCACTGGTTAGTCTGTAACTTAGAGAGACTCACCTGCCTCTGCCTTCTGAGTGCTCAGTTAAATGTATGTGCCACCATGTCCAGCTTCTGGCATTTAAGCAAAGAAGAAAGCAAGCAAGCAAGCTAGCAAGCAAATAAAAGTCTAGATGAAGAAAGAGAAGAGAAAGTTATAATAGTCTCAGTATACAAAGGAGTCAGTTAACTTGCTCATCCTTTCAAGTCATTTTCCTGCTTTTTTGATGCTACCATGTAAGAGGGAAAGCCTAACAGTCAGGATCCTAATACTATCTCCATGTTTAGGAAGGTGTTTACTGAGTGACTCAAAGGAAAAGATGAAAAATTATTTCAGAAAAAAAGGCTCATTAAATAAATATGAGGCAGTGTCTTTCACTACAGTGTGTCCACAAAGTGACAAGTTGCACTGCCACAGATTTGTCATGTTAAGCAAGTTATTTCATCTGTGAAAAGAAAGGTGAAGCCTTCAGTCCTGTCTGGTTTACAGTTCTTGGAGTCTATTAAATCATTAAAAGCATGAAAAATGGCTCAATAAAAATTTCAGTTTTACTAAAGAGCAGCTATCAGAAAAAAATGGGCAGTTTCAATTTTTATGCATGAGTCCTTGAGTTTGTCATACTACTCTGAAAACCATGTTAGACATGGTAGTCATTTTTGCTGTAGTATATCTCAAATTCTTCAACCTAATCCCCATTATTTGTGCCTATCTGAGATGGCAAATTTTGCCTTTATAATTTTGCATAAAGTTCATAATCATGGCCTCAACTCCCTGAGAGGCATTACATTTTTTCTCTCTCTCATTTTTTTTCTTTTGAGACAGGGTTTCTTTTTGTAAGCTTGGCTGTCCTGGACTCCATTTGTAGACCAGGCTGGCCTTGAACTCAGAGGTCTGCCTACCTCTGCCTCCCCGAGCTCTGGGATTAAAGGCATGCGCCACCGTGCCCAGCGAAATTCATTTATTTCTAGATTTTTTTTTCTTCTTTTTTATTTTTTAAGACAAGTCACACTGTAGCCCAAGGGGTCCTCGAACTTTTGGTGATCCTTTTCCCTCAGTCCCTCTTGTGCTGAGATTACAGGCTTGAGCCATCATTTTGGGTTTTATTCCTAGTAAATTATGGGCTAACGTTACACCTTGGACTAAATTCTTGTTGGGTCAGCTACTTTATAAGTCTGTTAGTTCTTCAAGGTTAGGAATTCTTTTTTTATAAGTTGAAAGCTGGCTACCTTAAAGTTTGATTAACATCTGACCGAGATTTTAGTAGATTTAAGTGACTTGTACTTATCATTTGTAAAAGCAGGCAGATCTGGTGGTTTGCTCTGGCCCCTACACCATCCAACTCCACAGAGAAGCGGCAGATCCTTTTAAGTCACAGCAAAGGGAGAAAGCCGCCTTTATTGTTAAGTTTTCAGTCTCACATTTTTCTGCAAATTCAAAGCAGGGGCATTTTGGGGTCAATGTGGGCAAAATGAATACCACACTTCACTGCTTTAAACTCAACATCAAGCCGCTTAGCATTGTTTCACTTAGAATGCCTGATACAAGCCTTTTCAGGACACCGAAAACACCAACCAACCAACTAGCTTCCAGAGCAAGTGCGGGCCGGGGCACTCCCCAAGCCTCCGTGGGTGGGGCCAGCGCTCTGCATCTGTGAGTCGCGTTACTTTCCGCCCGCGCAAGCGCGCGCGCCAACTCCCGCCTTAGAGCAGCACTCAAACCAATTAGTTTTTGGTTGAACGCTACTGCAGCGGCGGTCTCCTGAGAAGCGCATGCGCGGGGCGGGGCCGGCGCCTTTGAATCTCATTGGCGGCTTTTGGGTTTGGCTGTGTGTTCGAAGAAGTTCTCGTGGTGAGATACCTTGCGACCAAGGCTGGAGTGGAGGCTCAGAGATCTTCTGGAATACCGTGACCCGCGAGGGTAAGATTAATTCTGAAAAGGAGTGCTGGGATCGCATTTTACTCTGTGGCCCCAGGTTTAGCCTAGTCGGGAGTTGTTTGCCAGTTTCTCTCTTGGGTGGGGAGGGGAGGACTGAATTGAACCACAGGAGGCGCTGGAACTGTTTACCCAGTGGAGTCATAATCTGCTCCCTGGTCCTTCTTTTGTAGAACGCTTCTGTCACAGGACCTCTCTTCCCTCTGATTTGAATTTACTCTCTTGCTCTGGTCTCATCTGTTCTAGGGTGAAGAGACTGAATGTCATTACACTGTTCCCCTAGATTTTCCCACTTGAAGCTAAAGCCTTAGTTAGAAGTCAGTTTTGGTTCCTTATTAGTCATTTTTTTTTGGTTTCCCTCAATTCTGTGTCTAATTTTTTTGTTGTTGTTTTTCTTTTTAACAGTTAACCCAAGTGCATATGCTTCTGAATTAAGCATGCAGGCTGCCTCTAAATGAATCTATCTTTTTACACTTTTACACAACTCAGGGCTACTGCAGGCCAGTTATCTTCTTCCTTTGGCAAAGCCTGGTAAGTTTTGTCCACACTGATGGACTCTAGTCTTCTCCATACTGTAGAAAAAAATGGTCTTAAGTCTTCTTTCTCCTGAGGTTTCCCACAACACTGAAAAGTCAGAATGGTGCTCTTTGTTTACAAGACTGAATATGATCTCTCTGGTTACCTATCTGACTTCACCTCTTTCACTCCACTGTGTTCACACTGGTTTTGATGTGCTTTCTTTTAATACACAATTTTTTTTTCTTGCTTGAAAGATCTTATGTTTTTTCCTCCTCGTAAAATACTCCTCTACCCCATTCACATTGCACACTCCTTTATGGCCTTCAGATTTCACCTTAAAGGTTACTTTAGAGAGGTGACATAATTACTTTTATATCTCTGTGAAGAAACACCATGACTAAGGCAACTTATAAAAGAAAATATTTAATTTGAGGCTTGCTATTTCAGAGAGTAGTAGAATCTGACCGAGATGGGGGGCAGGCAGGCATGGCACTGGAGCAGTAGCAAAGCTTATGTCACAAACACAAGGCAGACAGCTAAGTGGGAATGGCATGGAGTTTTGAAACCTCAAAGCTTACGGCCAGTAAGCTTTACACACCTCTTCCAACACAGCTGCACTTCCTAACAGTTCCACCAACTGGGGACAAAGTATTCAAATATAGGGGGTCATGGGGGGCATTCTCATTCAAACCACCACAAGAGGCTTTTTCTAAATACCTACTTGAAATTAGATTTCTACTGTACCCTGTTTCTGTCACTGCACTGCACTGATCATGTATTGATTTATTGCCTTATAACTCTTGTGCCCCATTGTAGGGTTTATGAAGTCAGGTACCATGATATTTTATTTTTTACAGCTTTGGTGACTACACTTGTGTTTGGCATAAAGATGATACACAGTAATTATTTATTGAATGTCTGAATTAATAAATAGATAATATTACTACTTTGGGCCTAGTTAGCTTTTTTTTTTTTCCTTTTAAGACAGGATTTCTCCATATAGTCTTGGCTGTCCTGGACTTTGTAGACCAGGCTGGCCTGGAGCTCACATTGATAAGCCTGCTTCTGCCTCTGCTTCCCAGAGTGCTGGGTTTAAAGGCATGTGCTACCACACTTGACTTAGTTACCTTTTTAAACTATGCAGTTTTAACATAGTACTGATAAAAAGGGAGTATAAAGATTGAAAGAAAAATCAAGGAGACTTAGAGAAAATAGGAATGAAAAAAGATTGCATTCATGAGTTGGGATGGTTTTTTTTGCTTATATGATGTAGCCATTTTAAAAGGGAACATATGCTGTCAGAGTTTACCTGATTCTGTTAACGTTGACAAGTTATTAATCTGTTTCTGTTCAGGTCAAGGGCTTTCTAAAAAAGGTAGCCTATGGGTTATGTCTCCTGGATTCTTAGCCATTAAATACCCATTGCATATGGAAATTCAGGCAAATATGGGCATTGTCTCTAGCTGATTAATAGTAACTTGGTGCTTGTTTTTGTCTAGAACATGTATGCAGCAATGGCCACTAGAAACTCCCGGCTACGAAATAGAAGTTCTCAAGGCAGTAATAGTTGTCAGACCAGTCTCTTAGGCTGGAAAGTAAAAGAGAAATCCGGCAACTCGGAGAGAGTCTTGAAGGAAAGAAATTCAATGGAAGAGTTTAAACATGCTGATGATCAAACTGAAGATGCTCTGCAGATAGCAGTAGGATACTTTCAGAAAGGTAACAGCAGATTGTTTTTCTTATGAAAGTGCAGGGGTTTGCTTTGTTTCATTTTCATTTACTTTTTTTTTCTTTTTTTTATTGAGACTCCATGTCTGGCCTTGAACTCAGCTTTGTAGTTGAAGGTGGAATTCAGCTCCCAATCTGCCTGCTTCTAACTCCTGGTTGCTGAGATTGCAGGAGTACATTGCTACAAATGGTTTATGTGGAGCTGGGGATAGAACCCAGCACTCTAGTAACTGAGCTACAGCCCCAGCCCCCCAAACCCTATTTCCCTCTAAAACTGTTTCAGTTCTAATTGCTGGATGTAGTGGCAGACACACCTGTAATTCCAGCACTGGGTGTAAGGCTTAGGTAAGTGGAACATAAATTCAAGTTTAACTTGCAGTATATGGTGGGAACCTGTCCAAAAATAATTCTTGACTTTTTCTTAAGACTTTTTTTATAAACAGGGTCTTACTGTATAGCCTTGGCTGGTCTGGAACTTGCTATGTAGACTAGGCTGGCCTCAGACTCACAGAGATGCCCCTGCCTCTGTCTCCTAAGCACTGGGATTAAAGGCATGCACCATCATACCCAGGCTTTAAGACAGTTTTAAAGGAAACATGTTTTTGTTTATACAAAATTTTATGTACTAGTTATTTATAAAGAATTTACTATCTAACACTATATTTTATAGACAAAATAAGACATTTTCCCAGTATAGTGGTTGACAGACACTGTGATCACCTGAGAATCTTTAAAACATGCTAATGTTTATGATCTAAGACATCTGATTTTGTTGGTGTGGGATGTAACCTGGTGCTGTGACTTTTTAAAGGCTTCTAGTAGTTTGGGGAGATGGCCCAGTTGATGAAGTGCTTGCTTTGTAAGCATAAGGCCCTGAGTCCAAGTTTCCAGTATGCATGTAAAACTCTTGGCATGGAATATAGGCTTCTAATGGCAGCAGTGGGGCAGCAGAGATAGGAGATTCCCTGTAGCTTATTGGCCAAATAGTGTATCCCAGTTGGTGAACTCCAAGTTCAGTGAGAAGCTGTGTCTCAAAAGAAAAAAAAAAAAATAAGGTGGTGGGTGATAGAGGAAGATTCCATCACCATTGTCCTCCACAGACACTTCACACATGCACAGGAAATAGGCACATACACACATACAACACACACACATACTCACATAAATACACAAATAAAGGTTTCTAGGAAACTCATTGTACTGCTGAATTTGGGAATTGTCCTAATATTAAAAGAGGTTTTAATTAAATTTGGCCTTTTTCAGTCAGGGCATGATGGAAGTTTTCTTCAGTGAAGAGTCTATTGTTGCTAAGTATTGATTAATAAAGGCTCTCAAGTTTGTTTTTATAAAGGAAGACATTTACGCCATAGTGCATAAAATTTATTGCATAAATGTCTTCCTTTAACAAGTCCTATAACAAGGTTGTAATTGTTGAGGATGAGCACTGACAGAATTTTCATGGTCTCAGTGTTTAATATTGTTTCTTTTTCCAGGTCCCAAGAAAGCTTCACTGAGTAAAGATACAATCTTGGAAAAACACATGAAAACTGTGGAAAATATGGCTTGGAAAAATGGCTTAGCTCCAGAAGCAATTGATATTTTATTAAATGTGGCACTCAATGGCAAGTTTGGTATGTTGAGCAGATACATTTATCATCAGTGTCCTGCTAGTTTTGCCTTTCAGTTTTTGGGTTTTATTTTTATTTTTTTTCCCTTTTGGAAGAAATTGTAGTGTTGTTTTTGTTTTTGTTTTTTATTGAAAATAGTTGTTTATACAATATATTCTGATCATGGTTCCCCTTTTTTATCTCCTCCCAGATCATCTCCATCTCCCCAGCCATCCCACTCTATGCCTTCTTTTTTTCTTTAGGAAAAAAAATGCACAAATAAACAGAGCACAATAGAACAAATCAAACAAGCAAAGAAAAAGCACAGAAGCGCATACACACAGAGAGACACAATAAGATAGCTGAAGTTGACTTAGAATTTGGAAAGTAGATTAGGCTAGTCTTGAATTTGCTTTGATCCTCCTGCTTCTGCCTCCCAAGAACTGGGAATACAGATGTGCACTGATATACCCAGGATTTTTTTTTTTAAGATTGATTTATTTTGTTTTAAGTATACAAGTGTTTTTGCTGACGTGTATGTATGTGAACCTTGTGTGAGCCTGGTGTATTTGGAGGTCATAAAGTGTATGTAATATCCTGGCACTGGTGGGTATGAGCCACCATGTGGGTACTGAGAACCAAACCCATGTCCTCTTCTACAGCAACAACTTCTCTTAACTTCCAAGCCCCAAGCCTTTTTGAATTAAGTTATACACTGAAATCAGTTGCCCTTTTCTCTCCATGAGTAATGTAGTAAAATGATAAAGGGGGGGTTTTCTATGTTTAGATTACTTCATGAACCAAGAGGATCTGTGTATATTGCTGAAAGTGACTAGTTACCACATCTTTTTGTTTTGTTTTGTTTTTCTAAGACAACGTTTTTGTGTTTAGCTGTTCTGGACTCACTTTGTAGACTAGACTGGACTCGAACTCACAGAGAGCTACCTGCCTCTGCCTTCCTGAGTGCTGCGATTACAGAAGTGTGCCACTGTGCCTGGCATAGTTACCACATCTTAAGAAAATGTTTGTGGGACTATTGTCACCAGATGCAGGGAACCATTTTTAGCAAGTTTTGAGAAACAGATAATTAAATAATGTTCCCAAAGAGGGACTTTGAAAGACCACTTAGTCTCTTTCATTGCTTTATGTTTATCTCACAAGTTTCTATTTATACTATCTTCATTCCAGTATCTCAGACCCGGACAGTCAAGATGCTTTTCTTTTGTGTTTCCTGATTAGGGTGTGAGATAGGAGGGAGGCTGAGAAATAGTTCCTGACAATGTCCTTTTTACTCCTAGCTTTCTCTCGCCCATATTCAAGCATTCAGGATAGCTTATCTTCATTTTACTATGTATAGGCCAACATGCTGAAGACTTGAGTTCAGTCCCTGGGACTCACATATTGAAAGGAGAGAACCAATTCCTACTCTTCCACTAGTTGTCCTCTGGCCTCCACACATGTGACATTGTATAGGGGCACACATACATAAATACACAAACACACACGAATGAATATAGAAGAAGATGTTAAAACAAAGATGTTAAAACAGGCCCAGACTGGTTAGAGACTTAATGTCAAAGCTAGAGCCAGGAGAATCAAATCTAACTCTCATTCTAGTGTTTATGGCCTACATTGCCACTGTTTTCTGTTTGAATGGTATAGCTACTAAACCTATGCTTTAACTAAAAACTGTTTTCTCGTCTTTGCACATTAATGTGTAATGTTCCATTCTGTTTACAGGAGTGAATAGGAGTGTGGTTGTATGTATACTTTAAAAGTAACACACGACTAACTGAATTCAGCATATCAGTCTCAAGTATTTTATTTCTGTTCTTTTACATGATAAGTTCTATATGTTTCTAGAAAGTTAAGCTAGACTTCAATGGATTTCTGTTCTTATGGTGGTGGTTTCAGATGCTTTGGTTCTCATACCTTTTCAGTAATTTGTGTTTCATTGGTTTCTGTTGAGATCAATTTTATATCTGTGTCTTTCTTTAACAACATATGTAGAATAGGCAGGTTATTTTTTTTTTAAATTTTGAAATTTCTTTTGCCTTTTGATGTATCAGAAATTAAAGGTCAGAAACTTTTCTTGATGTATGCCAGATACTGAGGCATTTAAAAATGTCTCGGGCTCTGAAAATTTGTTTCTAATAATTGAAGAAAAAGTAATTTCTGAGCTAAGTCAACATGGTAGTACACATAGGTAAATCTCCATGCTAAAGGAAGTGAGGCAGAGGATTATTGTGACTTTAAGATCCAGCTAGACCACATTTATTTATTTATTTTTTTGAGACAGGGTCTCATGATGTAGCCCTGGCTGGCCTAAAACTTGCTGGATAGATCAGACTGGCCTTGAATCAGAGAAATCTGCTTGTGTCTGCCTCTTGACTGCTGGCATTAAAGGTGTGCTCTACTCTATCTGGCTGTTACTGTTTTATTTTTATGTTAAATTGAAATTTGCTAAGGTCAAACGTTACCATCAGAATTCCTTTTTCTCTCTTCGGTACTTCTGTGTTGTTCTCCATATTAGATCATTACATATAACTGGGAAAGTTGAAATATGTATTTAGGGAGTAGATTTCCTAGAAATGATATCAGAGATGCATAGAGGTTCTAGATCTGTGGTTTTCAACCTTCCGAATGCTGCAACCCTTTAACACAGTTCCTCATGTTGTGCTGATCCCAATCATAAAATTATTTAATTGCTACTTCATAACTGTAATTTTGCTACAGGTTGAGAACTACTGCTCTAGACTGTAAAGTAATTTTAGAAGTTACTGGGGAAAGCAGAAAGACACATGTGGTATATACTCACTTATAAGTGGATATTAGACATAAAATATAGGATAACCATACTAAAATCTGTACACCTAAAGAAGCTAAGCAAGAAGGAGGACGCTGGGTAAGAGGATCAATCAGGGTTTCTCACTCAGAAAGACAAATGGGATGGACAATGGATGTAGGAGAAAACAGGCAACAGGACAGGAGCCTACTACAGAGGGCCTCTGAAAGACTCTACCTAGCAGTGTATCAAAGCAGATGCTGAGACTCATAACTAAACTTTGGGCAGAGTGCAGGGAATCTTATGAAAGAAGAAGGAGATAGAAAGACCTGGAGGGGACAGGAGGTCCACAAGGAGAGCAACAGAACCACAAAAACCTCATCTTAGGAGTCTTTTGTAAGACTGATACTCCAACCAAGGACCATTCATGGAGATAACTAGAACCCCTGCACAGATGTAACCCATGGCATCTCAGTCTCCAAGTGGGTTCTGTAGTAAGGGGAACAGGGACTATCTCTGGCATGAACTCAGCGGCGGGCTCTTTGGCCACCTACCCTTGAGTGGAGTGCAGCCTTACCAGGGCACAGAAGAGGACATTGCAGCCAGTCCTGATGAGACCTGATAAGCTGGGGTCAGTGGAAGGGGAGAAGGACCTCCCTGATCAGTGGAGTCGGAGAGGGGCATAGGAGGAGACGAGGGAGGGAGTGTGGGATTGGGAGGAGATGAGGGAAAGGGCTATAGGTGGGATACAAAGTGAATAAAATGTAATTAATATAAAAAATTAAAATTAAGAAAAATTACTGGGAAAAATAAGTGTAGGAATTTTCCATTTTGAGTTTGTTATATGGCAAGGATGTAGTGGTGATGCTGTTTTAAAATTTAAAGGGTTTAGTGGCTATTAATGACAGATAATAAAAAATGAACCCTGAAGCCGCAAGAAACTTTTTATTATGGTTTTCTTTTTATTAAGTTTGTTTTTGTTTTAATGTCATCATTATTTTGTTTCTTCTCTACAGAATGATGGTGTAGAAATTGATGAGAAATTCTTTAATTTGTGACCCCTTAATGAATAGAACTTGATAAAAAGGTGTATAGAAAGCACTGTGTAGGATGGGGAGCAAGATGGAATGATTAGACTAGCACAAAATCATTCCAGCTAGTCCCAAGGGAACGTGTTTCATTCTGCAACTTTTCTAGCTTTTAGAGAAATTACATGATATAAACCTATTTTTAAATTCTTTTTTTAATTTAAATTTTATTTTTATTACTTGCAGTTTATTCACTTTGTATCCCATCTGTAGCCCCTTCTCCATCTCCTCCCAATCCTACCCTCCATCCTCCTTCTCCTATGCCCCTCCCCCAGTCCAATGATAGGGGAGGTCTTCCTCTCCTATCTGACTCTGGCTTATCAGGTCTCATCAAGACTGGCTGCATTGTCTTCTTCTGTGGCCTGGTAAGGCTGCTCCCCACTCAGGGGGAGGTGATCAAATAGCCAGCCCATGAGTTCATGTCAGAGACAGTCCCTATTCCCTCTTGGGAATTACTGGGGAACCCTCTTGGACACTGATCTGCCATGGTCTACATCTGTGCAGGAGTTCTAGGGGTTATCTCCATGCATGGTCCTTGTTTAGAGTAACAGTCTCACAAAAGACTCCTGTGCCCAGATTTTTTGGTTCTGTTGCTCTCCTTGTAGAGCTCTTGTCCCCTTCAGGTCTTTAAATTCTTTTTTATTATGATTTATTTTTAGTTATGTGTATGGGTTCGTGTCTGTTTGTAGGTATGTGTATATGGGTGCTGGTGCCTGCAGAGGCCAGAGACATCATAACCATTGGACCACCATATGTGGTCATGATGTGCCATGTGGGCCCTGAGTCTTGAACTCTAGGCTCACTCACTGCTGAGCCATCTCTCCAGCCCCTATTTTCTTTTTCTTCTTTCTTTCTTTCTTTCTTTCTTTCTTTCTTTCTTTCTTTCTTTCTTTCTTTCTTTCTTTCTCTCTCTTTCTCTCTCCCTTCCTTCCTTCCTTCCTTCCTTCCTTCCTTCCTTCCTTCCTTCTTTTCTTTCTTCCTGGAGACATAGCTCAGCAGTAGTTGAGAACACTGACTGTTCTAGAGAACTCAGGTTCAAATCCCAACACCGATCTATCAGCTCACGACTGTTTGTAACTCCAAGATATAACACTGTCACACAGATGTACTGCAGGCAAAGCAGCAATGCATATTAAAAAAAAAGGGCAGGGTTTCTCTGTAGCTCTCTCTGTCCTGGAGCTTGTTCTCTTAACCAGGCTGGCCTCAAACTTAGAGATCCACCTGCCTCTGCCTTTGAAGATCTAGGGATAGTGGTATGAGTTACCACACCCGGCCCTTTAAATAAAATTCTTAAATGCAAAAACTCATGAAGATACTTGTTAGTAGGTTTAACCCATTAATAAGGATCTATGGTATCTTTATAAAAATAAAGTGAAAAACACTTTGACATTTCCTTGTGATTAAAAGTCTTTTTGAACTGGGTTCAGTGGTGCACTCCTGTAATCCCAGCATTTGAGGAGGTCTGCCTGGTCTATAAAGTGAGTTCAGGACAACCAGGACTACACAGAGAAACCTGTCTTAAAAAAAAAAGGAAACAAAAGAAAAAGGTCTTTTGATGTAGAGGTATAGTTCATATTATATTAAAATTCATGATGAAATAAAAAATCCACATGGTATGTTTTGCATATTCACTGAGTCCTGCAGTCATCAAAATGATCTAATTGCTACATATTTTAATCATCTTAAAAGGAAAAGTCTTTTTTCATTATTTTTTTTGAGAAAAGTTCTTGTTACTTGTCTTAGGCTGGCCTCCTCTTGCCTCAAGCTCTTGAGTGCTAGTATTACAGGCCTATACCTATATAATCAGCTCTAAGCCTCCTACTTTTGATACAGGATTTCTCTGTGTAATAGCCCTGGAATTCACTCTGTTTACCATGCTGGCCTCAAACTCAAAGATCCACCTACTTCCTCCTGAGTTCTGGGATTAAAGGCATGAGCCGCAATGGCCTTAACTTACTTTTTATAATAGATATGTATGGGTCAAATAATTTGATTTAGGATCTGGGGAGATGGAGCTGTTGGCAAAGTACTTGCCATACAAGAATGAGAACCTGAGTTTAAATTTCCAGAAGTTACTTAAAAGCCAACAACAAGGGGCTTAGGCAGATGGCTCAGTGATTAAGAATACTAGCTGCATTTCCAGAGGACATGGATGTGATTCCTAGCACCTACATGCCACCTCATAAACTTCTGTAACTCTGGTCTCAGAGTTTTGACACACTTTTCTGGCCTCAGATACACATGTGATGTGTATACATGTATACAAACAAAATACCCATACATAGAAGGAAAGAAAGCGTGGGGGTAAAGGCATGTCCCTGTAATCCCAGCACTGAGGAGGTGGAGACCAGAGGATACATAGGATTTGTTGACGAGCCAATCTAGCTGAATCTGAACTCTAGGATCATTGACAGACCCTCTCTCAAAATGTAAGGTGGATGGGGCTAGAGAGATAGCTCAGTGATTACAACCACTTGTTACTTTTCCAGAGGACCCAGGTTTGATTCCTAGCACCCAGTGACAGCTTATAACTGTCTCTAACTCCAGTTCTTGGGAGTCCAGTGCCCTCTTCTGACCTCAGTGGACCCTGCATGCACATGGTACACAAATGTACATGTAGGCAAAATTACCCATACATATAAAATAATACAATAAAATAATTTTTAAAAAGCAAGGTGGAGAACAGTTAAGGAAGATACCTAACATCAAACTTTGCCCTCCACAGAGATTCATACGTACATGCACACATATCTGCACGTTCATGGACATGTAGAAACACAAAATAATTTGCTTTTTAGTTTGTTTTAGAGGCTTTAGAGTGTTATGACCCATAGTGAATAATAGTAAAGGAATAATTGAGACACTGAATTCCACTTTAATTTAGAGTTGGTCTGTTTTCCAGGGAATGCTATAAACACACGGATATTAAAGTGCATGATTCCTGAAACTCATATAGCAGAAGACTCTGTGGTTAAGGCGGTGTCATGGCTCTGTGTTGGCAAGTGTTCTGGTAATACCAAGGTAATCTTTTTAGATGCTTTGATGATAAGTCCTTCAGAACCCACTTAAGGGCTAGTAAAGAAGAGCCACTTACAGAGTAATGGTAGTGGCCTTTGTATATAACCTGTGGTTTCAGAACAATATAGCTTGATAAAAGGACCCTGCTCAAACAGAAATTTTTACTAAGAAATAAAAAAATCTATTATCCTACTTGGTGCTAGAAGCTTTTAAAATAGCACTAAGGATGGATGGATTAAAGCTCTTCTGCAACAATTAGCTCCGTTTCTCTAAGGACAGTATTTTCTCGTTCAACAGGTACTTTTTTATCGTTGGTTGGTTGCGATGTTTGACTTTATTGATCAAAAGAAGCAGATTAATTTGCTTTATGGCTTCTTTTTTGCTTCATTGCAAGATGATGCTCTGGTAAGTAAACATTGACCAGCATTGAGCTTCAGTCAAATACTATATTTGTATATTTTGGCATGCCTCTTAATGTGTGTTTCCTTTTATTTTAAGATACATTACGAATACAGGAAGTAGAAAGAATTACACAGCAGACATCTTTGCTGCCCTGTCTCACAGAGTAACAAATCTGTGGTATTTGCTGTATATCTTTTAAGGAAATAATGTTACAGATAGAGAAACATTAGTTGATATAGCTCAGTGATTGCTGTCTTTTAAACCACATCATCAAAATCCTTTGGGTGACTTATTCTGAATTCTCTGGACACTACAAAAATTATATCGGAATCAATCAGGAGAATATTGTATTTCACAAGTTGCAAATGAAGCTTTTTAAATTAAATAGCATAATTATTTCTATTAAAAACATTAATAATGTCAAGAAATCAGCCTACTGTATACCTAGAAGATTTTCAAGAACAATCAGTAGTTCATAGACTATGTAAGGCCTAACTGAATTCCTCTTGGCTTTGAGAATAGAATTCATACCTTGATCTTATTTCGGAAAATTCATGTTACCATCCTGTTTCTTGCCTTATGCTAGGTAGGCATAAATTTATTTTTCATTAAAGATTTACTTATTTTATGTCTGTGAGTGTTTTGCTCACATGTATGTCTGTGTACTGCCTGTACTACAAGGCTTGGTGCCCATGGAGTTCAGAAGACTATATCGAATCCCCTAGAACTAGAGTTATAGACAGTTATGAACTTCCATGTTGGTACTGGGAATTGATCTTGTGTCCTCTGTAAGAGCAATAAGTGCTCATAACACTGAGCTATCTTTCCAGTCCCTAGATTTAAAAAATTTGTTGTCCAGTAATGTAAAAATGTAGCAAGGGAATGAAATCGTATATATGAAGGAAACAGCTTAGGTTGAATTATGAGGTTATAGAGATGACTTGTTGGCTAACAGCAGTGGCTGCTCTTGCAGAGTGCCTGGGTTCAGTTCCCTTTCATGTACTGTAAGTAGAGTTTCAGGGGATCGGGTGCCCTCTTCTGGCCTCTGAAGACACTGTATACATGTGGTAATACAGTGCAGAAGGAAACCCTGCACATTTTTTAAAAAGTTGAATTGTGAAAGAGTAAAATAATGACACAAAGATAGTAATTAGTATACTCTATTTGAAAATGAAACTGCAAATCAGAGTGATTAATAAAAGCATTATAAAAGATGTAAGCATTGAGCTGAGCCTTGGAAGGATGAATTGAATTTGGGTTTTTTTTTTTTCTTTTTTTAAAGACAAGAAGTCTCACTATCAAGCTCTGGCTGGCTTGGAATTTGCTATGTAGATCAGGGCTGGGCTTGAGTTTAGAAATTTGCCTGTTTCTGTCTGCCTAATACTGGTGTTCCACCATGCTCTGTGATTTAGGGATTTGTCAATAGTAAATAATGTTTGTCATGAGGGGAACGTTTTAGGCGTAGCTGTGAGATGTGTAAATTATGTTTTAGGAGACTTTACATATAGACTAGTCTGAGTTAGTTGAAGTTAGTATTAGGTGATAGTGGTAAGACTGAGAAACATGGGTTGAGAACAGATTGTAGAGATTATATGATTATATGTTGAACTTTAGCCTGGCATGGTGGTGCATACTGGTAATCCCAGAACTCAGGGAGGCGGAGGTAGATTTAGGCCAGTCCAGTCTGTTTTATGTGTATGAGTGTTTTGTCTGCACATATGTCTATGTATCGTATGTGTGTCTGGTGCCCTTGGAGGTTAGAAGAGGGTTATTAGGTCCCCTGGTACTGGCGTTACAGACAGTTTTGAGCTGCTATGCAGATGGTAGGAATTGAACCCAGTTCCTCTGCAAGAAGAACACATATTCTTAACCAGTGAACCAACTCTTAAGAATTTTAAGTATTTTTTTTTCTAAGTGACTATATTTAAGTAAAAATCACCTATATCAACAAATAGGGAAAAAGGCTCTAAGGTTTAGAAAATGAAAAAAATGCCAGGTGTGGTGGTGCATGCCTGTAATCCTTGCACTCAGGGAGGCAGAGGCAGGCAAATCTCAAGATTTCGAGATCACCCTGGTCTACAAATGAGTCCAGGACAGCCAAAGCTACACAGAGAAACCCTGTCTTGAAAGAGAAGGTGGGGGGAAGAAAATGAAAAATAATATGTTTATAATGCATGAGTGTGGCTGTGTACCTATCATAGAGGACATGTGAATGTCAGAACAACTTTCAGGACTTGAATTCTCCTTCCATTATGGGTTCTTGGGATCAAACTTAGGTCCTCAGGCTTGTGAAGAAATTGTTTTTTTAACTGCTGAGCCATTTCAATGGCCCCATTGATTGTTTTTTTTTTTTTTGTTTGTTTGTTTGTTTGACAGTTTGATTGAGTGAGTGATTGTTTGAGACAGAGTGTCCTGTATAGTCTAGGATAGCCTTCAGTTTACTATCTTTCTGCCTTCTCAGAGTACTGGGGCTGTAGTTGTGAGTTAGACACCATGGCAGGCAGCAGGGTTTAGGATTTTTTCTTTTTTGGTTTTTGTTTTTTGAGACAGGGTTTCTCACAGCTTTGGCTGTCCTGGACTCGTTTTGTAGACCAGGCTGGCCTCAAACTCACAGAGATCCACCTGCCTCTGCCTTTCCAATCGCTGGGATTACTACCAGAGTTTAGATTTTAAAAGTATTATTTGCATAGAATTTGATTGGATTCTGACTGTGTAGTGACTCAGATGTGGCGGTTAAATATTTGCCATCAAGTCAACTACAATGTATGAGATGCATATCGATTTTTCCTTTCTACATGTGATTAAAGGATAATGTCAGATTCTCCATAATACTGGCTGGAGCCTCCGGCCAACAATTGTGTGGCACTCATTTTGTATTCAAAGTGATGAATAGTGTTCCTAATGGTTCATATCCTAGGGGTATGAGGATTTGTAGTGAAATCTAAATTTTTTTTCTTCTTAAAATTATGCCTTAAAAATTTAGCATATTTATTGCATGTATGCACATGTTTACATGCATATGGTAAGTATGATGTATGTGTATAAATGTACATATCCGCTTAGCACTGCAAGCATGTGAAGACCAAGGGACAACTTCTGCAAATCTCTTATTTCCTTCCAGTGTTCGGTTCAGGGATCAGGTTTGCACAGCATGAGTTTTATCCACTGTGCTTTCTTGCGAGCTCTGTTGCTGTTTCTATTTCGTATTTTCTTTTCATTTCTGAGATAGGCTCTGAGTATCCTGGAACTCACTATGTAGACCAGGCTGGCCTTGAACTAACAAAAATCTGTCTGCTTCTGTCTCCCAAGTGCTAGGATTAAAGTCATGAGCCACTATGCCCGCTTATAATTGACTTTTCCCGCTTTCAGTCATTGAGAACAAATGTTGACAAACTTTCCATAAAGACCTAGAAGTAAATGTTTTACATGTGAGGGCCATACAGTCTTAGTCACAACAGCTGTAATTGCAAACTAGCTATTGTCAGTACGTATCTATCCAACACAGGGTCTCATGTAGCTCAGGCTTTCCTCCTACTTGCTATGTAGCTGTGGAAAATCTTAAACTTCTGATCTTCGTATTTATTCCACTAGAGTGCTGGGATTACAGGTCTAGATCACCATACCTATATTTAGTCTGAGCTTTGTGCATGCTAGGCAAAACCTCTACCAAATGAACTGTGCCTTCAGCAGATGGATACTTAAAATGAAGAAGAAAATCAGCCATCCAGTTATTTAATAAAAAAAAAAATGTATCAAGTGGGTCCTATTTGCCAGACCACAGAGCAAGTCGTTATTCAAATTATGGTAACTCAGAGACAGAGAATCTACTTAACATGTGCATGGCCCTGTGCACATAAGAAATTCTATCTACCCAGTGGAAAATGAGGCATCACTGAAAATGATGTTTTAAAAATGTTTATCTATGTGTATTTGTGTGTACCTGAGTGTATATATTTGCACCTTGTATAGACGGGAGCCCAGGAAAGGCAGAGTGACCATTTAGATCCCCTGGAACTGATTTTGTAAGCCACTTATAATTGTTTGCTGGAAATCAAATTGGGGTCCTGTGGAAGAACAAGTGAGCATAGCCACTGAACTATCACCTCCAGCCCCAAGGATAAAAGTTTTAATTTTGTATCTTAGTAAATATGAAAGGAATGTCTAATTTTTAAAAATTGTTTTTTGAAGTTTTTATTGTATATGTTCATTATACATGGTTCTGTATTACATAAGGATATTTTCATATAAGTATATGTTACAATATTGAGCATATTTCCCTATACTTTTCTACCTCGCCTTTTTCTCACCCTCCCTCTCAGTCAGTTCTCTTTGTTCCTCCACACTGTTTTTCTTCTGCTTTCACACCATATATCTACGTTAAAATCTATGAGCCACAGACTAGATAAAACATAATAGTTGCCTTTCTGAGACTGGCTTAATTCTCTCAATATGATTATCTCCTGTTACACCTATTTTTCTGGCAAATAACATGCCATTCCTATTTATGACTGAAAAATTCCACATTTTTCCAGGTAATTTTTTGTTAAAATTTTATTCAAAGTTATCTACTTTTTTTATATTTTAAAACAAAAATATTAGGCAGGAGGGATGACTCAACAGTTAAGAGCATTTGTTGCTCTTGTAGAGGACCTGGGTTTAGTTTTGTACACCCATATGGTGGCTTACAGCTGTCTGGAACTCCAGTTGCAGAGGATCCAATGCCCCCTCTGGCCTCCATGGGCACCAGGTCGGCATGTGGTGCACGTACATATATGCAGGCAAGCAGTCATACGTATTAAAATAGGTATTCAGAAATTTAAATAAAAGGCTAGACAAAAATCTTCATGTATCTTACTGCCAATTGAAGCTGTTTTCTAATAAAAAAAAAACCCACAAAACACTGTTACCTACAGGTTTAAGCATACCTATTCTGAAAATCTGAACTCGAAAGCATTCAACAATTCAGATCTGGTCCCCAAGTGTGTACATGCAAAGGTGCATGCACTTGTACATGTATGAGGGCATGTATCTCATAAAGACAAAAAGTAGAAAATTCCTTGCTTCATTCCTCAAGCCATAGTCAAGACACAGACTCACTAAAATAGTGTATAAATTTACCTTCAGGTTATCTGTATACAGTAGATATAAATCACCAATGAGTTCTGTGTTTAGACTTAGGTGTCATTCTTTAGCTTTTTCATTAAGTGCATGGAAATATCTCGGGTCTTGCAATCACTTCTAGCATCCAGCATTTTTGATAAGGAGTGCTCAGTCTATCATGTAATAAGGAACTGCTTCAGGAAATTATTATTCAGTGAAGCCCTAAAAGTGTTTTACATAGCATATCATTGACATTTGAAGAGGATATGGTGTTGTTTTGTTCAAAACAACATTGTCATTTTTCTTATTTTTTTAATATTTTAACAGTGCCCCCATATTTGCCATCTGTTATATTTACTGACCAAAAAAGAGAATGGTAAGTATTTTCATTCCAGTTATATTACCTTTGCTCTATAAAATCAGCATTTGTTTGATTTTATAAATTTAAATAACTAAATTAGTTGTATATAACTATTATATCAACAACTAGCTATTATATAGATAACTAGCATTGGTTATATGACAATACTCATTTTCTGAAAATTGATTTTTTAGTACTTTTGTCTAAGAACATCTGCATAGTGGTGTTGTAAGAAATTATTGAAATGCATGGTGTTTAAGTATAAATGAATTCTTCTTTTGCTGAAGCAAATGCTTAGATGCTCTTTTTTTCTCTGTTTTCTAGTCAAACCATTTCGTGTGAGAAAATTGCTTGATCTTCAGGCCAAAATGGTGAGTGCAGAGAAGCCTTTAGAGTAACTAGTTGCACTTTGAAATAGGCATGGGGCTAGGCTTAGGAGACACAATGTCAAGTGAGTCATCACCTTGAAGGAACTTACTTCCTGGAGAACTCTGTCAACAAAGTGGAAAATCACAATCAAAGCTGAGAATATAGATCAGTTCTTAGTGTTCTTGGCTAGCATGCATGAGGCTGGGGTTCAATCTCTAGTACAGTATGTTAAATTTTACAAATAAGTTCAGTTAGTTATACAATAAGTCCTAAAGGTGTTTGCAGTATGTGTTCTTTAAAAAAAAATCAATCTATGTACATATTACTGTGTGTGTTGAGGTTGGAGGTGCATGTACAGGGCAGAAGACAAGCTAATGTGTCACTCTTCAAGTGCTGTCTGTATTTTTTGAGACAGGGTCTCATTGGCTTGGAATTCGCCACATAGGCAAGGCTGGTTGGCCAGTGAGCCACAGGGATCCACTTGCCTCTGTTTGTCTCTGCCTCCCCAGCATGGTGATTTCAAGCACATGCCCCCGCCCCCATCCTCAGCTTTTTAATGTGAGTTCTGGGATTGAACTCAGGTCTTTTATGCTTATAAAGCAATCCCTGTTTTTAACTATCTTCTTAACCCCCAAAATATATTTTCTGGCAAAACATTCTATACCCATTATCCCAACACTTAGGAAGCAGAGGCAGAAGGATTACCTGGCCTAGTTCAGCTGAAACACTATTGAGTTTACAGGTATCAAAAAATGTCAGCATTGACTAAAGTGGGCCATTTTGCTCTTTAACCAGTTTAATTTTAGTTACAATTAATCAACAAATATATGAAAAATGTTCAGTATAATTAGCCATAGGGAAATGCATATCCACAAGGTCCTGTCTCATCGAAGTTGGAATGGCTATTATCAACCTTCCCCACCTGGAAATCAAATGCTAGTGTGGCTAAAAGGGACTGGTTTCGGTCCTTTGTTTGAAAATCTTTAAAACAATCACACTTGTTTATTTATTTGTTTACTTATTTTGTGTGTGTGTGGGTGTCTACCTGTGGCCACTACATGCCATAGCTCACATGTCATGGTCAGAGGACAGTTAGCAGGAATCAGTTCTCTCCTTCTATCTTGTAGGTCCTGAGGTTCAAACTCAGGTTTTCAGGCTTTACAGGAAACACCTTTATCTGCCATTTTATCAGCCCTTTTGAAAAATTTTAAATTACCTTTTAAGTTATTATATAAAATAATGAGTTTCATTAAGGAGTTTTAATATATCATTGTACCACCACACTCTTCTGTTATTTTCTTTATCCTTTTTTCCCCTGGTAGTCTCCTTTTTGTTTTCATGTCACATATATACACATATACACATATGTTCATGTATAGAGAGTTCTATCTAGATTATACATATTAGAGAAAACATGAAATATTTTGTCTTCTCCCTCAAATTAACTCTTCTTAACTTTTGCCATTGTCCCCTTCATAGGCTTCATTTTTCTTTCATGTTATACATATATATGACATTTAATATGTATGTATATGTATGTATACACACACACACACACAAACATGTATATATCTTTTGGAGACTGGGTCTCTCCATGTAGCTCTAGTTCTCTTGAAACTTGCTATGTAGACCTGGCTGGCCTTGTCTACTTTTGTCACTTTTCTTGCCTCTGCCTCTCTAGTGCTGGGATTACAGGCATATGCCATTGTGCCTGACCTATATATTTATATTTAAATATAGATTCTTCATAGAAGCAAAAACATGACATTTGCCTGAGTCTGGCTTATTTAATCTATAATAATCTCTAGTTCATTCATTTTCAAAGTATATAGTCTTTCTTATTTATGGGTGAATTAAACTCCATTGTGTGTGTTTGTCATGTTTTCTTTAACAGTTCACCTTGGCTGACATCTTGGTTCCATATATATTTTTTAAATTTTTAATTAAATTTTTTATTTTTTTAGTATTACTTACAGTTTATTAACTTTGTATCCCAGCTGTATCCCACTCCCTCATTCCCTCTCAATCCCACCCTCCCTCCTTCGTCTTCTCCCTGCCCCTTTCCAAGTCCACTGATAGGGGAGGACCTCCTTCCCTTTCATCTGACCCTAGCTTATCCATATTTTTAAAAAGTTAAAATTTATTTATTTTACATGTATGGATGTTTTCCTGCATGCATGTATATGTCAGGTGCATGCAGTACCCACAGAGGCCAGAAGACAGCAGCAGATCCCTAGAACTGGAGTTACAAGCAGCTGTTAACTTTCATGTGGGTACTGGGAATAAAAATCCAGTCCTCTGAAAGAGCAACCAGTGCTGTTAGCCCCACGGTATTTCTAGCCTCTGGGTTCCATATTTTTGCTATTGTGAATAGTGCAGAAATAAACATGTATGCATAAGTGTGTCTTTGGTTGTGACTTAACTTCCTTCAGACATATACTTAGAAGTTGAATAGCTGATCTGAAGTCAGTTCTATTTTTAGTTGAAAAAGAAGGGACTCATTTACAATAGTGAGAATTTAAATTAATTCAGCCATTATGAAGAGCATATAGAATCTTACCCCCCTCCAACCCTCCCAAGGCACACCCATAATTGGGCTACCATACGATGTAGTGTTCTGGGTTCGCATGAAAGCAAATGAAGTCAACGTAGCAAAGTGCTACTTGGATGCCCTTACTTATTATGGCAATGTTTGCATTAGGTAAGATAGAATCAGCTGAGGTGCCTGTTTATAAATGACTGAATAAAAAGGATATTTTAAATATGTAAAGTGGAATATGTTCAGCCATAAAAAAGAATGAAGGCTTCCCATTGTAATAAATTAGATGGAACTGGAAGACATTAATGATAAATAAAAGGAGCCAGACACAAAGCTTAATATAACATGTAGGTGTTAAAAAGTGTCAAGGACCATGTATGGATATAATCTAGAACCCCTGCTCAGATATAACCCATGGTAGCTCAGTGTCCAAATGTGTTCTCCAGTAAGGGGAACAGGGACTATTTCTGACATGAACTCAACGGTGAGCTCTTCCGCACACACACCCCTATGAGGGAGAAGCAGCCTTGCTAGGCCACAGAAGAGAACATTGCAGCCAGTCCTGAAGAGACTTGATAAGCTAGGGTCAGATGGAGGGGGAGGAGGTCTTCCCCTATTAGTGGACTTCGAGAGGGGCAGGGAGGAGATGAGGGAGGGAGGGTGGGATTGGGAGGGAATTAGGGAGGGAGCTATGGCTGGGATACAAAGTAAATAACCTGTAATTAATATAAAAAAATAAAAAAGAAAAAGTGTCAGTATTAATATGGAATATTAATAAGAACTGAGAGAATATATTTTGGGAATATAGGGAGGTAGGAATAATGTAATAGTCCAAAAGTACAATGCATCAGTGCAACTATATTAAACTTGCACTGAACCATGACATTGAACCCAATTAATGTATATCATAACATACATGATAATATATAATGTTAAAAATTTGAGATGTTTTGGGCAAGGTGTATAACTTAGTAGATAGAGTGCTTACTTAGTAGGCACAAAGTTCAGATCCTAGAACCACTTAAAATTGGGCATTATGGCATATACCTGTAATCCTAGCATTTGGAAAGTGGTGGCAGGAGGATCAGAAGTTTAAGGTTATTTTCAGCTACATAGCAAGTTTGAGGTCATCCTTGGTTACATGGGCAGCTGTGAAAGGATACAGTCATGTTCCATGTAATGTTTTGGTTAACAATTGACTACATATACAATGGTGTGTACCATATAACCTAATTATTTAATAGGCCATACCATTTAAGTTGTTTAATTAGATCTTATGATTGTCCTACTTTGCCTTCTATTCCTGTGATAAAACCCCATGACCAAAAGTAACTTTTAGAGGAAGGGTTTATTAGCTTACAGTGTATAGTCCATACTGGGGGAGAAGTCAGGGCAGGAACTGAAGCAGAGGCAATAGAGGAACTTTGCCTAGTAGCTTGTCTTCATGGCTTGCTCAGCTTGCTTTTTTATACAAGGCAGCAATGGCACTGCTCATAGTACAGTGGGCTTTTCACCATTAATCATTAATCAAGAAAATGCCCTGCAGACTTGCCTACAGGCAATCTGACAGATATTTTTTTTAAAAACAAATTTATTTAAATAGTTTATGTATATAGGTGTTCTGCCTGTGAGGTGCTCATTGGGTGCCTGTGGATGCCCAAAAGCTGTCAGATTTCCCAAAGTGGAGTTACATATGATCTGTCATGTAGGTACTAGAAATCAAACTTGGGTCCTCTGGAAGAGCAATCTGTGCTGTTTAGCCCTGGAGGCATTTTCTCAACTGAGGTTTTCTCTTCCTTGTGTTAACTCTAGCTTGTGTTAGACTGATAAAGAACTAACCAGATCGATGATTTTTCAGACAATAATGAACTCAATGCATTTCTCATAATATATCCCCATGAATATTATGACTCTATTATCTCATTTGCTGTCTTGTTTTGTATCATTCAATTCAGCAAAATTTTAATGTAGTAAAAAGACTTGGTTGTTTATTTGGATTTTGAGTGATATGCTTTTTCTCAGTAACCTGCTGTATTAAACACAGGTATCCAAAAGCAATGACTTTTCTCACTGTGAAATCAATCAATCCAATTCTCTCTTTCTCTCTGTGTTGTATAGATGTATGGGTGTGCATTTGCATTAGCATGCTTATAAAGGTCAGAAGACAACTTGCTGAAGTTGATTTTCTTTTTCCTAATATTCAAGTCCCAGGGAGTGAACTCATATCATCAAGCTTAGCTACAGTTGACTTTGCCTACTAAGCTATCTTATCAGTCCTATCTACCTTTTTTGAGACAGGGCCTCTCACTAGTCTGAATCTTGCCAAGTAGACAAGGTTGGCTAGCAAGTGAACCTCAGGATCTACCTGTCTCTGCCCCTCTAACACTGGAATTACAAGTGCAGGCCACCACACATGACTTCTTAATACTCAGGTTCTGGGGATAGAAGACTCAAGTCTTCATGCTTGCCAGGCATGTAATTTATTGACAAGTATTTGCTCAGTTCTGATGTTAATATTTTGAAGACTTATTTTCCTATCAAGCTGTTTGACTATTGCATCCAAATAGAGAGGGCAGCTATAAAGATGGAACAGTTAGTCAACAGCAAGTACGTGAAAAATGGGTTACAGTGTATATCACAAGCTTCATTGGCCTTACTAATGAATTTTCCAGGATTTAGGATAATCAAGTATTCTTGTTAAATTAACATCTCCGCTGCTGTTTTCCTGACTTTCACTCTTGGTCCTACCTCCTTGATAGCTAAATCAAAGATGATCATAATTAATTAATTAATTAATCAATCAAGAATTGATTTTTGAGACAGTGTCTCATTACATAGCCCTGGCTGTCATATAACTTGCTGTGTGGAGCATGCTGGCCTCAAACTCCTAGAACTCTTTCTGCCTCTTCTTCACCTTCCTGAGTGCTAGTATTAAAGGCATGTGCCACCACATCCTTGCTATTTTTATTCTAAAAATTTTATTTATTCTGTACATATAGATATTTTGCCTGCATGTATGTATGTGCATCACATGTGTACAGTGTCCAAGTAGGCCAGAAGAAGGTGACAGGACTCATAGAAGTAGAGTTACAGACACTGTGAGCTGCCATGTGGGAATGGCTGGGAATGGAACCTGGGTCTTTTGCAAGAGCATCAGGTGGTTTTAGCAGCTAAGCTATCTCTCTAGCTCTAAAGATTAATAAACACTGAAGCTTGAGTAAGTTACCATTCTGAATAAGTCATGCTGTGCTATCAAGTAGGAGTTGTAAGACTAAAATTCAAGCAGAAGAATCGAGAAAACACATAGAAGAAGTAAAAAAGGAAACACTCAGAAAAGAAGATTATCCATTGGAGAATTTCATTTTAAGTTTGGTGATACAGATTTTCTGGTTACTCATTTTCTTCTTTCTTTTTTTAAATTAAATTTTTATTTTTTATATTAATTACAGTTTATTCACATTGTATCCCAGCTGTAGCCCCCTCCTTCATTCCTTCCCAGTCACACCTTCCCTACCTCATCTCCCATGCCCCTTTCCAAGTCCACTGAGAAGTCTTCCTCCCCTTCCATCTGACCCTAGCTTGTCAGGTCTCATCAGGATTGGCTGCAATGTTCTCTGTGGCCTGGTAAGGTTGCTCCCCCATCAGGCAGAGGGTGGTCAAAGAGCCAGCCATTGAGTTCATGTCAGAGACAGTCCCAGTTCCCCTTACTAGGGAACCCACTTGGATACTGAGCTGCCATAGGCTTCTTCTTTCTTTCCTTTCTCTTTTTGAGACATTGTCTTACAGTTTCTGTTGCTGGGACTAAAAACATGATGGGGAAGAAAGAGTATATTTCATCTTACAACTTGTAGTCAGGGAAGTCAGGAGTTGATGCAGAAGCCATGGAGGATCATTGCTTCCTAGCTTGTTCCTCATGTCTAGCTCAGCCTATTTTCTTATACAGCACAGGACCACCTAGCCAGGAGTGGCTCCACTCACAGTGGCCTAGGCCCTTTAAATATCAATCAAGAAAATGCCCTTCAGATTGGGCTACAGGACATTCCTCTTGAGGCATTTTCTCAATAAAGTTTTTTTTTTTCTTCCCAAATGCCTCTCCTTTATGTCATGCTGACATAAAAGACAGTTTCTCTCTATTTAGCACTGGCTGGCCTGGTGCTGTCTACGTAGACCAGGCTGGTTATTAACTCAGAGATTTCTATTTGTCTCTACTTCTGCTTCCTGATTGTTGGGATTGAAAATGTTTGCCACCATGCCTGGATAGTTACTAATTTCTATAGTTTCTATAGCTTCTTTTTATAGTTCTATCACATTGGAAAATTATAGTCTAAAGGTTTAGACTTAGTTTATTATTACCTTGTGTTTAATATTAGCTCTTAGTTTGTATTTGGCCACTGAATTGAAAAATGAAAAATGCTTATTTTATTTCAGGGAATGCAACCTCATCTCCAGGCTTTGTTGTCGCTGTATAAGTTCTTTGTTCCTAGTTTGATTTCCGTAACTTTGCCTGTAAGGAAGAAGGTAAGCGATTGCTGAGAGATAAGTCCTACTGAGATTGAATATATTTTTTTTTATTTAGTTTTGTTTGGAAAGAGTTGTGGTAAGATAATTCGGGCTGACCTCATACTCATCTTCCTTCCTTGGCTTCCCAAATGCTGAAATCACAGTTGTGTACCACAACCATGGCAAACTGCATCATTTTTCATAAAGTTAATTTGAAGATTTGTGCTAAAATCTTCCCCCACTTTTTTGAGAGAAGTTGTATCAGAGATTGGCTCTTTGTGTTGATCTCTCTGATGTAGTATAATTGATTCCTGATTATGAGAAAAGCAGCATTAAGTGGATTTTTTAAGGGTGTAAGTATTTCTTAATATGCATTCAGTTAATGGTTCTGGACTCATTATGTTGCTCTGACTCATGAGTACTTAAATCTTTCGTACTTTACACCTAAATTTATAGATCTATTTTAATACTTCAAAAAACCTGTGGACTTCAGCTATGCTTGCTATGAAGCTAAGAAACCAAGGAGCTTTTCCAGAACCTACAAAGCTGACATTAAGTCCGACTAAGGGCCGTTGCCTAAAAAGAGTAAGTAATCTGAAGTACCAAAGGACTTGCAGCTTTAAAAAGACTAACCACTCAGGTATTGGTGATCATAGATATTTAGACTTTGATAATGTATTTTATACAAACCACTAAGTGGTTTGTATTAAGACTCCCATTAAGTGAAACTTCTTAATAGCTGGTTTTCTTTCTTTATTTTTTTATCTATTTATTTTTGAGAGTATATCTTACTAAAAATGTAGCCCTGGTGACCTGAAACTTGTTACGTTGACTAGGCTTGGATTTTGCCTCTCGAGAGTTGAGATTAAAAGAGTGTACTAACATACCCAACCTGTGTCTGTCTTTCTTTCTTTCTTTCTTTCTTTCTTTCTTTCTTTCTTTCTTTCTTTCTTTCTTTCTTTCTTTCTTTCTTTCTTTTTCTTTCTTTCTTATTGTCTTCCAGTGCATTGGTAAATATTTGTATTATCTTTCTTTTTCAGAAATGGAATTCTCACTCAGTTATACCAGCGCTAAATTCTGCTAACAAAGAATGTGGGAATAAGAAGATGAGTCTTTCTGATTATCTTAGCAGTGATAGATCACTTCCACTAGAACAGCTTCAAAGTTTCCCTCAACTTTTACAGAACATTCATTGCTTAGAGGTACGTGGCTGGAACAGATACTAATTTGAATTTTCTGTTTGATATGCATAGCCTCTTTGTTTTTAGAATTTGGGGTTGAATTCAGCCTCATGTATGCTAGGGAAGTATCTATACTGAATCTCATCCCAGGCCCCAAATCATCTGTTTTTGTTGTATGTTACCTATATAATGTTTAACCTGTTGCTGTGGCTTACGTTTCATATACTAACTGGTGACAGATTGTTCCATCTTTACAGCTGCCTTCTCAGATGAGCTCAGTGCTAAACAACTCTCTGCTACTTCATTATATTAACTGTGTCAAAGATGAGTCAATCTTATTGAGGCTCTATTATTGGTTGAGTCAAGCATTCCAAGAAGGTAAGAATTGGTGGTGTAAAGCCCTGGGTAAATAAGAATGGAAGAAGATAGTTAGTAAATAGATTTCTTATTCTAGATTAAAAATTCTAGGCTGGAGTTTCATAGGCTATGATCATTTTTCTGACAATCATATATCCTGAACTTGAATATTTGTAGTGTTATCATTTTAAGATAATTAAGAAAGAGTGGTGTTAAGCAAACACTGCTAAAAGGTATTCAGAACTTACCAGACTGCTGTTCTTAATCTCAGAGTTCTGCTTTGTATTCTAGGGAAAATGTAAGAATCATTGGATTATTGTTAGTACACACAGAGAAAATCAATTTACAGTACAGAATGTCACCTGTTTATTTTATAATAGGAGTGATTTTTTCTTTTGACAAAATGCTCATGTGTACCAAGTACACATGTACTTCCTCTAATAACATTAGTCATTAGAAATTTTCTTACTAGAGAATTAAAGTGTCAGTGGACAGTGTTTCACGCAAGCCATAGTAAAGCCTGACCACTTCATTAAATTACAGTGACGTTTTTCTCTAGTAATTTTGTTGACTATCAAGAGTACTTATTTCTTGGATAAGCATTTCCTGACTTGTCAAGTCTTTGAAGTCAGTTTTAGTCACTATAGGCTATTGTTCCTTTGACTTAGTCTTTTTTCTACAGGAGATGTGATACAATTACTTAGACTTTTACTTTGTAAGTTCTCACCACTTGTAGCTTGTATTCAACTAACCCTATCTATTTTCATCTGTGCAATTATAGTTACTGGGAGACATGAAGCTAATACTGTTCACTGTGAGTGAACTTTTTCAGTATTTTTACTATAAGCTTTCCCCTGTGTTACTATGTTTGCTGACTGTCAGTTCTAAATCCCTGTTATAATTTACACTGTCACTTAGCCAGGATATTTGAATCTTACAACTTTCTTAATTCATCATTTCTTTGTGAGACAATCAATTTGCAAGACAGAATATCTTTAAAAAGTTGTAAGATTCAAGTGTGTGTGTGTGTGTGTGTTTGTGTGTGTGTGTGTGTGTGTATTTTGGGTTTTTTTTTTTTGAGACAGGGTTTCTCTGTGTGTATCCCTGGCTGTCTTGGAACTCACTTTGAAGATCAGGCTAGCTTCAAACTCATAGAGATTCATCTGCTTCTTCCTCCCAAGTGCTGGGATTGAAGGTGCACACCACAATGTCTGGCTGTGACAAATGTACTTTTGTCATTTCATTATTGCATAACCATATGCTTTTATTTACTATTTCTGTTCTAGAATGTATATGGTATAATATAAATAATTATGAAAGAGAAAAAGAATTTATAAACTTCCTTGACATTGTCATCAGGACGCAGTGTTTCCTACAAGTAAGATACCATTTGTTTCCTATAGATTCTATGATTCTTAAGATTTATTTGGATGTCCATTACAATATTTTCTTTAGTCCCTGATATCCTTCTTTGTTGGAGCTAGGGTTTTATGTACCACAGACATGTAACACCACACCTGATTTTTTTTTTTTTTTACAATATTGGGGATGAAACCAAGGCCTTGTGTGTAATAGGAAAGCAGTCTACCAACTGTGCCATACTCTCATCCCTAGTACCTGATTTCATTGATTTTTATTTTTATTTACTAATTTTCCTTATTCTTGACATCTTTTAAAAATATTTGCTCACTTTGAACTTTATAGAACCAAGTTAGATTGATGTTTATTTTTGTACTATTATGTTTGAAGAAAGAATAAGTTTAAATTTTTAAACAGAATAGAAAGTTCTATAATTTTAAGACAACAAATGGTTTAATGCATTCAGTTAATTGAATTAGCCAGGAATATGAGTCTTTTAGGGTTACTCCTTGTGTTCTTTTGGGGGGGAGGCTGGGAAAGTGCTGGCAATCAAACCCAGGACCTTATGCATTGTAGGCAAGTACTTATTCTACCACTGAGCCATATCTTCAGCTCATGACTTGTCTTCTTTTTTAATTAATTAACTACTTAATTAATTCTTTTATGGGGCCTTATTCGCTTAGACTGGCGTTGAATATGTTACATAGCTGAGAATGGCTATGAACTCTTTATCAGATCATCCTACCTCCAAGGCCTTGAATGCTGGCATTACGGGTGTGTAGGATGACACCCAGTTTACGCGGTTCTGGGCATTAGGCAAGCACTCTTAGTTACAGCTCCAGCACATGACTTATGTCTTTTTGTTTTTGTTTTTTGCTTTTTCAGACAGGGTTTCTTTGTGTGGCTTTGACTGCCCTGGACTCACCAGGCTGGCCTTGAACTCATAGAGATCCACCTGCCTCTGCCTTCCTGAGTGCTGGGATTAAAGTCATGCACCATTGCACTTGGCTGATTTATGTTCTTAATAACTACAAATGTTTTGTAGTGTGACATATGTCCTGGCAGCTGGATTATTTGTTCTGGTTATCTCGCAGTTGCATTTGAAGCTGGAACTCATTTATTGGCACTGTCTAGATGATTCCATGCATCTGAAACAACTATAGCACAAAATAAAGCGGTTGTTAGAGACTACCTGTGATTCTGTACAAGGTTTTATGATCACCATGTGTTTTAGGAAGGGTTTTACTCTGGTGAAGCTTTCTTGTATAAAAGCCTGCCTCTCTGGGATGGCTTCTCTTGTCGGTCACAGTTCCTTCAGCTTCTGGCCTGGATTCCATTCAGTAGCTTCTCTGGTATGTATTATGAAAACGTATTATTAGTTACATTTTGTTGTTCTGTTTTAATACCATGACCAAGGCAACTTAGGTGTTTATTTTTGGCTTATGGTTCCAGAGGGTTAGAATCATGACAGTTGAGCAAAGGCATAAAAATAGGGCTGGGAATCTAAGGGCTTGCATCTTAAACCACAAGCATGAAGCAGAGAGTGTATTAAGAATAGGACTAGGCTTTGAAACGTTAAAGCCCTCCTTCAGTCATATACTTCCTTCAACAAGTGCAATATTCTTAAACCTGCTTGTATAGTGCCATCAATTGGGGACCAAATATTCAAACGTCTGAGCTTATAGGGGCCATTGTAGAAGGAATCTCTTGTGTCTGTATGGAAGCATCACCTGACCAAAAATAAACAAAACAAAAACAAACAAAGAAACAAAAACTAATGGCCTAGAGTTGAGGCATGAAATAAGAGGTGATACATCCAGCAGGCAAAAAGGATTCTGGAATAGAGCTAGGCACATGAGGTATTTGCCCCTGCAAGATGTGATGAGGACAGATGCGTAGTACCTGAGCAGAGGTAACCAGCCATGTGGCAAATGTAGATTAGTAGGAATGGGTTATTTTAAGTTATGAGCTATTCAGAGAAGAGCCTACCTATATAGCCTAGGTATTTGTAAAATTATTTTGGGTCTCATGAGTCATATTCCAGGAGCTTGAGGCTAGGAGGAAAAACCACCCAACAGGACATTCTCATTTAAAGTACCACAACATGAACTTATTTAATTCAATGTAATATAAATTAAAAATTGAATATTATTTTCTGTTTCCTAGAGGTGAAGCCACTTCTTATTGATCATCTAGCGCCTCTCTTCTTTACATCAACCATTTATTTCAAGGTAAAAAAACTAAAGCAAACTAAACACATCTTACTTATACTTAGGAAAAAACATATTTCTATTAACTAGTGTTATATAATTCCAAACTCAAATTCTGACAGTGATTATCTATTTTCTTTTGTGAAATTTTGCGATATTTCTGTGTGCGCGTGTGCGTGTGTGTATTCACCACAATGCATGTTTCATGATACAGAATTTGGGGAGGATATCTTGTTGTAATTGGTTCTGTCCACATTGTGGGTCCTGAGGCTTGAACTAAGGTCATCAGGTTTGGCAGCAAGCTCCTTTACCCACTGGGTCATTTTACCTGTCCTTTTTTTTTCTTTTCATTCCTTTTCTTTTCTGGCTTTTTTTTTTTTTTTTTTTTTTGAGACAGGGTCTCTTGTAGCCTAGTCTGGGTCAAACTCAATAAACTCTCTGAGTAGGTGTAGATGACATTGAACTTCTGATCCTCTTGTTCCTACAACCTGAGTGTTGGGATTTCAGTCATGCACCACCATGCCCAGTTTCAGTGGTGATGTTTATCAAACCCAGGCTTTCATGCATGCTAGGCAAGCACTTTATGAACAGAAATGTACTTCCATTCCTCTAGCAGTAGTTCGTTCCTTCCTTCCTTCCTTCCTTCCTTCCTTCCTTCCTTCCTTCCTTCCTTCCTTCCTTCCTTCCTTCTTCCTTCCACTTTCCCTCCCTTTCTTCCTTCTTGATACAAGGGTTTGCTAGGGATTGTAGCCTAGGCTGGAAGCCTAGGCTTGTCTGAAATTTGTTAAATAGACAAAACTGGACTACCAGCAGCCTTCCTGTCCCTTGTTTTCCCAGTGTTGATAGTGCAGATATGGCTCACCCCACCTAGCCCCTGAGTTCATTTTGTAACTATACTGTATTATGGAATTTAAAGTTAAAATGTATAGAAGTTTTTGGTTTGAAAGCTTTGGCACACATTTTTCTATAACTTTTTATGCTAGTAAGCACCAAACAAGATCATGAAAAACATGTGAAATGCCTATTAACATGAATGTAAAAACAAACCAACTGGGAAATCCTCAACAAAACTTAGAGTTTTGTATTTCTACTTTTGTGTGTCCAGATCAACAATGCATAAGTATCACATTAAAGAAAGAAGTAACAGCCATTTAACCAAAAGCAAGATTGTAATACTTTTCTGGAAACTTTAACAGAGTTTAAAGTGATTAAGCCACGGTTTCCAAGTGAGCACAATTGACCCAGACCACAGAACAGAACTAAAAATATTATTGTTTATTAACCAATATCCATAAATGTTATGTTCAACATTTATGGTGATACTCATTTTACAATGTTGCTTTCAACTTTTATATTTGCTGCTTTCAATAAATGATACACATACATTCTTCTGGGTCAGGGGCATGGAAAAGTACATAACTTAAGGTTACAGCTATGCACTAGCTGCAAAAGCTGATTACATGGGAAACCAAGGGTGGGATTTGATGGTTACATGGTTCTCATAAGGGCAGTTTAAACAAACAGGCCAGGTACACAGTAGGCTAGCAGTTTAGGGCTTAAGTAACCTCAAGGTGTATTATTAACCCTGGCTATGAGATCCAGCCAAAGTTTCAGTCTCTTAGAATGTAAAGATGGTTTTATTATAATGCATTGCCAGCCTTTTGAACATAATACTCATGTTAGCATATTTCATAAATATAGTAATTACTCTTTCTTTTTTGAAGGTTTTTGGTATGTGGGGATTTGAGGTTGAAATAGGGTCTAACTGTGTATCTCAGGTTTCCCTGCAAGTCAGAATAACCTTGAACTTATATCTGTCTTCTTGACTCGGCTTTCTAGGCACTAGGATTAGGGGCATGAGCTACGATGTTCTGCTCTGTTTTTCACAACTATGGGAGCACAGTATTGACCAAAGCCAACAAAACCCCTTGAGGTACTTTCCTATTGAGTGCTTGATTTTTTTCTGAAACCATTGACAATATACAATATTTCTTTTATAAACATTTTACTCCTTAAATGATTCACTGTTGGCCACATTTATGGAAAAATAGGTTGTTCTGGTTAGTATTTCTCATAATTTGTTGAATGTCATTTTATTGCTTATCACATTAACTTGAATTTGCTAATATTTCTATTAACCTGTAATTTACTATTATATGAATACTGTCATTCAAATGAAAATAACAGCTATCCCCGCTAATAAATTTCAAAGATAATATTTTAAAATAAGATTCTTTGCAATTTTCTCCTAATCTTCCAGTTGAGTTCTTTTCAATTTTTTCACTCATCTCAGCAATCTAAGGCGCTTATTAGCTATGAACCTTAGGCAATTGTCATTTTTATACATCAGTGTGATTGATAGTTAGCAGTTGTTTATGATTCAATCTACTGTGCATGTACACATTCATTTGTCCATATATCTGCCTATGTCTGAGAGTTGGGGTAGGGATAAGGAGGAAAAGGAACAGAAAATGAATTAAGATTAGGGAAGAGTATTTAAATTTCAGGCCCCAAATGAGGCTCAGGGAAGATAGTTAAGGAATTGTGAATGAGGCCCTGGGAAGGCAGGGTAAAAAGTCTGAGAACACAGAGATTCAAAGTGTTTGTTTTCTAGAGTTCCAGAAGATTAACCTTTATAACCAGCAAGAGGAGATAGCTTCTACTGAGAGGTCACAAAGTGAACAGGGTGGAGAACTCTTATTGGTAGCAACTTCAAATGATCTCTGGGGGGACAATAAGGATGATTTTGTTTCTGAGAAAAAGTCTTATGCAGCCCAGGCTGGCATCAAACTTGATACATAGCTAAGTCTCTGTTTGAATTTCTTATCTCCCTAACTCTGCCTGCTGAGTGTTGGTATTACAGATTTGTACCACCATGCATGGCCAAGAGTGAAGGTTTATTTGATGATGTAATGTGTCATAAAGGAGTGTGATTTAGAGAAAGATGTGTTTCTAAGCTACTCTGGAAGTCTTGTGTGCTTGAAAAAAAAGGGTGACATAAATCTGCTTGCATTCATCTGTGCTTTGGAGACTGAACATGTTTTTTTGGAATAGCAACAATTTGAGTTCTAAGGTCCTTGTATTTCTAGCCTCTGTTAGTAGTCTATTATTTGCTTTGGATGATTTTGTTTTGTTTTCTCTTCTCAGTGTACTGTTCTTCAAAGTCTGAAAGAACTATTGCAGAATTGGCTGTTGTGGCTTTCTATGGATGACCACATGCAATCCATGACAGACAGTCCTCTGTAAGTTAATTATGTGGCTGTCCACAGAGATGTTCAACATAAAAATGTTTGCATATGGAGTCTAATACTAAGGCATGAGGCTTAAATTATTTCATGTAAATACTTAGGAGAACTTTTCTGGAAATGTTTTAGTTATTCGTCACATTTCAGTCTCACAATCCTGAAAGAAATGTCAATTTTCCAAGTTACTATTTAGGTAAATGAGAAAGCAACCCCTTTGAGTCACTTGGCACTAGGTAATATAGCAAAAAAGGAAAGCTGAAATTACAGTGCAGCTTTGACTTCTATTTACTTTTAATTCACTTTATGTAATGCATTTTTATATGTTTAGCCAATTTTAATGATAGTCTTTTTTCCTGAGGTATATTTTGGTTACATGTATTCATTTGTCTTGGCGTTGGAGTTAAAAATGAATTTGAATTTCCATTAAGGGTATGCTTTACCCTCAAAGTGAAAGACTGAATTTCAAGGAAATGTGTAATAAGGCTATTTTGAGTTTTTTATTTTTATTTTTATTTTTTTTTGCTTATTTGGATTCTCTTATATTCTGTCAGCCACATTATTCTTTAGTACTTTAGAAAGTTTATATTATAGAAAATTGTAAACATAATCAAAAGTAGAGTTAAGAGGGATTATCATGGAAGAGGGTTAGAAAGATTATAAGAGCTAGAGGTCTGGATGGGCTGGAATGAAGCAGCATCTTCCGTACGTTACAGGACCACTGCATTCATGGATTCACAGTAGCCGTGGTTGACTGCATTATGTCCTGCACAAGAGCCAGCCAGTCAATATGCTAGCAGTCTAAAAGACTCCATCCTTGATTAGCTAAGGACAGTTTATAGCTTCTGGGATAAACTCAAGTTTCCTTAAGGGTATGGCTCCTGGTAGGTTGAGCATGTCCCAGTGAATAACCCTCAGAAATATATGGATAGGACAAATTTGGAGTTGATGGCTTATTAAATTAAAGAGAAAGAGGATATAAAGTTGAGGGGTCATTGGGAGGTAGGAGAAGTTAAGAGGGGGGAGTTGGGTGAAATGATCAAAATACGTTGTGGGAAATTCCAAAGGAATGGATAAATATTTTAAATCTATATAAATAGATACTAAAATAAATTTCAAATATAGAAACACATGCATACACTCACACAAATACAAAGAGTACAACATTACCAACCTCTAGTATATTACTTTTTTGTTGTTGCAACAACAAAGTTCCAGACAAACGCAGTGTAAGGAAGGAAGGCTTGATTTTGGCTCACAGTTGAGAGTGTGATCCATCATGGTGGGGACAGCATGGTTGTAGGAGCATGAGGCAGCTGGCCACATTCTATCCACATTCAGGAAGCAGAGAACAAGGAATGCTTGTGCTCAGGACCCCAACCCACATTTAGGCTCAGCCTCCTTGTACCTCATTTAACCTAATTTAGATAATCTCTACAGACATGTCTAGAGGTTGGTTTCTGTGCTGTAGATCCTGTCAAGTTAAGAATCAAGATTAACCACTACACTTACACATCTATCATCTATTTCCAACAGTTATCAACTCAAGTTAGTGGCTTTTCTGTTAAGATGTTTTATTTTTAATAGTTTTAAATAGATGTACGCAAGTGGATGTGTACATGTGAGTGCAGGTGCCCTTGGAGGCCAAAGGTGTTGGATCCCTTGGAGGTAAAGTTTACTTACGATTGTGAGCCAGCCACTGGAACCTAACTTAGCATCCCTGGAAGAGCAGTGCATTCTCTTAACTGCTGAATCTCGCTAGCCCCACATTGCCTTTCACTGTTTACTTTTCTCCTTGAATTGTTTAGTGAAACTCAGACACCATCTCAGCTGTTAAAATGGTACTATTATTATACCTAACATGAACAGTGTTTAAAACTTTCTAATACTTATTATTCGTCTGTCAGTGTGTTTATGTGTGTACACCTGCATGCCATGCTGTATGAGAGGGTCAGAGGACAATGTTGTGGAGTTGATTTTCTCCTTCCACTACACATGGGTTCTGGGGAATGGATTCATGTGTCAGGCTTACATGACAAATGCTTTACCCTCTTAGCCATCTCCCCAGTCCAACATGTATCATTTATTTTATTTTATTTTTTGAAACAGGGTCACATGTATTCCTGTTGGCCCTCAAACCTACTGTGTAGTTAAAGCTGGCTTTGAACTTCAGATCTTCCCTTAAGTTCCTTTTAAGTGCTAGGACTGTAGGCGTAGACCACTATATTCAGTTCGTGTGGTGCTAGGAATCAATTCTAGTGTTTTATTTATGCTGGGATAGCATTGTACCAACTGAGCTATGGGTACCAACATACCTGGTCCTTACAAATAACTGTTAATTGCAAACTGAACCAAATGTTCACGAACATTTAGCTCAGATTTGTTTTCCTTTTTATCTTTAGAGTGCAGTTTAAGTAGGAGAATGTAGAGTTAGAGGTAGGATAACGCAGAAAATGTTTTAAATTCTTCCAATTCATTATTTTAACACTTTTCTATATGGTTATGACCACTTTTAGAAGGAAATGGAGCATTAGAGGGTAGTGAAAACATCCCTTTTTAAGATAGTGTCTTACTGTGTACCCTTGGCTGGCCTGGTACATGCTTTATGGATCAGGCTGGCCTCAAACTCACAGAGGTCTTCCTGCTTCTTCCTCCGGAGTGCTGAGATTAAAGATGAATACTACCATGCTCAGCAATGAAGAAGTCTTATGACGCTCTAGTTATCAAAAAGAATATGGTAGTATCAATACCACATGGGAACTTTTCAGATACTAAAACTGTTAGGCCCTGCTATTAATCTACTGAGTAAAACCTTACAGATACCACAGTAATTTGTTTTACCATTCCCCCAATTTTAGTGCACGCTGGAGTTTGAAGAACCCTCTTACAAAGAAATACTACTAGAAAAGTGTGTTTGCTTGTATAACTTTTGGCCAACTTGCAGAGAATATTAGATAACCCTGAAATAAGTACCTTACAGTTTCTGCAGTGTCTTTTCACAAATACTCCTTTTGTGTGTGTGTTGCTGAGAGCAGAACTCAGGCCTCATACATTCAAAGCAAATGATCTACCACTGAGCTAAAGTCTTAGCCAAGATTTTTCATAATTGTGTCATAAATTTATGGGGAACATCTAAAGAGGAACAGTGCTTTTTTAAACCCCTTTAAGTACATAAATGGGCATGTGTCCAGATAACTTTGTCATAATATTTAGAATATTGCCTATCAAATAATATTAAATTAAATAATATTTATTAAATAGTAATAGATTAATTAAATAGAATTAAATAATACTACCTGGCAAGTGAGATGGCTTAGCAGATGCTTCAGTGTCAGCCTCACAACCTGAGTTCAAATCTAAGATTCCACCAGATAGCAGGAGAAAACAGACTTCCAAGAGTTGTCTCCTGTCCTCCACACAGGCACTGTGACCTGTGCATGAGTGCACACACAATAATTAACTAATAAACAAATAAATTCAATATAGCTCATAAGTTTTTAGTAATTCATTTTGGAAAAATTAGTTGAATATTATATTTCTATTATATGACCGTTTTCCACATAAGTGACCAGAAAGGAATAAATTGTAGTGATAGATCCTAAGGAAGAGAAGGGTAGAATATCAATCTCAGTATCATTTTCCAGGGACATTTCTGGGTGTAGCAATGATTGGAAAGAGTGTGCTATTATCATTTAGCAGGCGGCAGCTAGGAATATTGAACACAATGCAAGGGATGGGGGTAAGAATAAGAGGCAGTCATTGAAACATGAATTGTTTTATATAGAATGCCAGTGATTTGTAAAGAAGCACTCACCAAGAAGGGTTAGAGTTAGAATTAGGATTAGAACCTGGGCTGTATATCCAGTACCACATTAAAAAAGAAAAGGTTGCTGGGAACAGTCATCATTGTTTGCAGTTATATGAGACACGTTTGTGAAGTCCTGCCAAAACTCAAGTAACCTATATCAGTTTGCCAAGTAAACAGATTATCGTATGCTTTGTTAAATATTCTCTAATCTTTTCTTGCTTCTTCTGTTATTGAACCATCATGGTAGTGAGTAATGGGAGAATCATCATCTCCAAAGCTCTGACACTGTATATTATCACACACTCTGCATTATTGTACATCACCCTTTCATCAGTGCATCACTGTTATCAATGATCTATGTAGATAGAAGGGTAAAAGTATGAGTTCACAGTTGTAGGTCTTTTTGTAAATCTTTTTAACTGGATTGAAAGGCACATATGAGACATGGGTGGATTGAACTACTCACTTTATATATCGTAATTTAAGAGATTATATTTATTGATTTAGGAATGAATACAATATATCCAGATGTGAAGTTATATGGTTATAGGCATTTTACTTGCATGTATGTCTGTGTGGCACATGGTGACCAGAAGAGGGCATTGGATCCTTTGGAATTGGAGTTATAGACAGTTGTGAGCTGCCATGCTGCTGCTGAGAACTGAACTCTGGGTCCTCTGCAAGAGCAACAAGTAATTTTAACTGCTGGGGAATCTCTCCAAACCTGGATATGTTTTAACTAGAAGATTGAAATCTGCCAATTTTCTCCTTATTCAATTTTAGACTAGTTTGAATTCTGGTGAGAATATATTTCCTGAGGAATTTAGGCAGAACTGGATATTGATTCCTAAAACACAGGTTTCATTTAGTGTGCTGCTGTGTTACTGGTGCATAGGAAAAGGTTCCTAGTGAATGTTTAAAGTTTTGAGACATTTGGGCTGTGTGGGATTAAAGACATTTTTTTCTACTTATTTTCAGCTTTTGTGAATGTTTTATGTTAGTTTATCATGAACTTTTCTCTGAATTGTTACCGGGTACCCATTCTCAGTGATTTTTCATTATTTTCCCTAAGGGATTTCCATAATTGAGGAGTATTAGAATTCAGTGACAATGAATTACTGGAGGCAAATATATTGACTGTAATCATTTTTAAGTTTTGTAACATCCAGAATTTGTTTAAAGTGTAATCATTTTTTTTTCTTTTCTTCTCAGATTTACTTATAGAATCTGGCTACTGAGAATATTTTATGAGTTGATCTTAATGGTTCCTTAGATGACAAGACTGTTGGGTGGTAGTGGCACATGCTTTTAATCCCAGCTTTTGGGAGGCAGAGGCAGGCAGATCTTAGAGTTTAGGCTAGTCTAGTTTATGTAGTAGTGAGTTCCAGGACAGCCACGGAGGCTCTGTCTCAAAAAAAAAAAAAAAAGGAGTGGGGAGAGAGATGATGAGCAAGAATAATACTGTGGTTAATCACTATGCTTTTATTTTAAAAAGAAAGTAAATTGTGTGTTGGAGAACTGATAGTTTTTTAATGCTGTGTCCTTTTATTACTTTATATTGCCTACCTTTAACTTGGAAACTGAGCACTTGCTGGTGTGAATCTGATTATTATGATTTTTTTTATTGTAGAGAGACAACTTTGGGTGGATCCATGAACTCTGTGTCTCAGTTGATTGAGTACATTGGCTGGCTGTCCATGATTGCAGTGCGCTTGGAGAGCAACAGTACATTGTTGTTGCACTTTATTTTGGACTTCTATGAGAAGGTAGTACACAAACCACAAATTTATGATAGCTAGTCACTTTTTTGGCCTATAATGTAGATGTCATGTATAATCATTAAGGTAAGTTACAATCTTACTTTGTAGTTAAAATAACCATGTTTTGAAATTAATGGTTTATTTTCACCGGAATAACTGACTTTAATAGAACAAGTGTAGTTTCATCTGAACATCTGGTTGGTTTTAGTTCAAATGCTTTTTAATATATATTGACTTATAAATAAGCTGGTTCTAGGCAGAAGTCTTCCTAGCATCATTTTATTGTTGTTGCTGTTCATCTGTGTTCATCCCCATCCCATGGCAGGACAAAAGAAAATGTTAAATTGCTTCTTCAGATTTATACTTCTGACTTTCAACTGCTTGATATTTTTTCTGGTACCTAGCTCCTTTATAATTCTACTCATTTTATAGTTTTATAATATTTAACGTGGACAAAACTATTATCATCACAAAGTACCCATTATAATCTTCCTTTCCTCAGTTATCTTTCTTAATTCACTAATATCTAGTTGGATTTTGTTTTGTTTTGTTTTTAGGTAGGGCTCATATAGCCCAGGGTGGTCACAAATTTGTTGTGTAGCCAAGTGTCTTAGCATTTCTATTGCTCTGATAAAACACCATGACCAAAAACAACTTAGGGAACAAAGGGTTTATTTTAGTTTACATGTCCCAGTCCATTATGAATGGAATTTAGGGCAGGAACTGAAACAGAGGCCATGGAGGATCACTATTCACTGGCTTGCTCCTCAAGACTTTCTCAGCCTGATTTTTTATAATATCCAGGACCACAAGCCAAGATGAGGCACCACCCACAGTGAGCTGGGCCCTCTTACATCAAAGAACATGCTTTACAGTATTGCCCATAGTCCAGTCTGGTGGGGCCCTTTTATCAATTGAGGTTCCCTATTTCCAAATGACTGGTTTATATCATGTTGATGTAAAACTAGCCAGCACATTGAGAATCATCTGATCCTCTCTCCTGGAGGTTGGGATTAAAGACTTGCATCAACACATCCAAAACACTATTGTGAATTGAAGCATATCTCCAGCCTATGTTACATATTTGCTTAGAAGACTGTGTTCCTTTGTTTTGCAGGTTGCTAGTTAACTAATTATGGTAAATAAATATTTGGGAGACTTAGGGAAAAGAAATGCTCCCATACTGTAACATGATTTTTTCCAGGTCTAAGATGAATTTAAAGATTTATTTATTTTTATTTAATTTGTATGGGTGTTTTGCATGTACTTAGTGTTTTGTGCATTATACAAAAAATTGTTGGGATAGAGGACAGAAGAGGGCATCAGATCCCTCTGGAACTGGAGTTACAGATGGTTATAAGCCACTATATGGGTGCTGGGTGAAAAACAGACAGTGCTCTTAATGCAGGATCTCACTGTGTAGCCTTGGCTGGCCTTAAACTCATAGAGAATGACTTGCCTCTGCCTCCTGAGTGCTGGAATTAAAGGCATGTACCACCTGGCCAACCTAAATGAAATATTTTAATAATAGTTTTATAGAAATAATTTTCTCAGTTAAGGTTGATATTTGATGAGTTATATTTTGAACAGACTTGAAGCTACCCTTTGTATTAGGAGTCAGATAGGTTCAAATGTAATGATACACTGTTGTTTATCTTAGATTGATGATTCTTTGAGTAAACTTCATTGATTTATGGAAAATAATCTATATATTGATATTAACATTCTTTCCAAAAGGTCTGTGACATATATATAAATTATGACCTTCCATTAGTGGTGTTGTTTCCTCCTGTGATCTTCCATTCTGCACTCCTAAGCCTGGATGCCAGTATCTTGAACCAACTCTGTTACATTATGTACAGGTACAAGCCCGTATCTCTCTTTAAATTACTTTAGGAATTACTACATCATAGTTCTCTCTTCATCACTTGGTTTTAAAAATTAAAATTCCTATAAATTTTCTGCCATGGTTTATAGAAATAGAAATAGAAATAGGCTCCCACATGCTTTTTCCTTCATCTCCTTTCTGCTAGTCCACTTCCTTTCTCTAGTCTTGCTTCTGCTTTGTTATAATATGTATATATAAATGATGCTTTCTGTCTGTGAAATATTGGATCCACAAATGAGAGAAAACATGATATTTTTTTCTGAGTCTACCATATTTTACTTTATAAGTGATTTCAAGCTTCATTATGGAGGTACCTCCAAACACAAAAAATGGAGCTGTGCTATTTTTATATCTCCCCAACCTAGATAGGGCGTATGGAATTAAAAGTCTGTTATGGATTGTTTTTATTTTATTTTTATGTAAAGGCACTATTTTACTCAGCTTTGTTAAAATTTCTGCATGTTTAAGAAAAATTACTCATTTGTTGATAACTGTTGAAGTATATGTAGTTTCTCTGGTAAAAGGATCATTTTCTGGGAGGCAAGAGGAACTATTTATTGCCAGTTTTGTGAGTTCCTCAGCTTTATTTCAGGCCTTTTGCTCTTTTTTAACTTATTAATTTTTTATTAATTACATTTTATCCCAGCTGTAGCCCCCTCCTTCATCCCTTAGTAATCTCTCCCTCCCTCCCTCATCTCCTCCCATGCCTTTTGCTCTTTTATTTGTGGATTGAGTTTATTTTTAATCCCTGAGTATACTTCCTTCTGTGATAATTTGTACAGCTCTGTCAGTGTTAAAACATGTAGAAATGAATTAGATAGCAGTTCTCAGATAAGAACAAATTACATTTCTGAATTTCATTGTTCTGCTCTATCTTTAAACTAACTTTTTTTTTACATTTATGTGTGTGTGTGTGTGTGTGTAACATACATGTGGAGGTCAAAGGAGCCTGTCCCAGTATATGAGGTCAGGGATCAAGGCTCCGTGTCAGGAGTCTTTGCCTGTTCAGTTATCTCCCTGGCCTTCTGTACCTTGTTTTACATAAAGAGTGTTCTATACTAGTGAGTCACTACTTTCTCTAATAATGAAACACTAAAAGAAGGTCTTTCATTGTTTTCTATTGAGTTATATTTACAGTAAAAGCACATCTGAAATGTCTGATTCAGTTTTTAAAAAATTATCATTTCTGTGTATGTATGTGTGAGTGTGTATCTGGGGATTAGAGCACAACTTTCTTTGGTCAGTTCTTTCCTTCTACTTGTATGTGGGTTCTGAAGATCAAGCCCAGGTGGTCAGATCTCATGGTGAGCACTTTACATAGTCAGCATCCTATCATCCTCCAGCTCAATTTTGAGCCTCTTTTTGTTTATCTTTCTTTATTTTTATGTTTAGTAGTACTCAGGATTTAACTCAGGGCCTCATGCATGCTAGACAAGTAGTCTGATAATGAATTCCACCTGTAAACCCTAACTTTAAAAATTCTTTATGCAACTGGGCAGGGGTGGCACATGCCTTTAATTCCAGCACTTGGGGAGACAGAGGCAGGCTGATAATCTGAGTTTGAGGCCAACCTGGTCTACAGAGTGAGTTCCATCCAGGTCAGCCAGAGTTACACAGAGAAACCCTGTCTCAAAAAACTAAAAAGAAAAATTCTTTATGGAAAATGTACCACAAAAGTGTAAAATCCTTAACTAGACAATCAGATATTTGTGTTTGTGCACATTTGCAATTGTTTAGTTAAAAATGCACTTCTGTGTGTACGTATGATTGTGTGTGTGCAATTTAATGCATATTCACGTGGAGGTCAGAGGTAAATGTCTGGTGTCTTCCACTATTGCTTTGCACATATAGACAGGGTCTAACTGAACCAGGAACTCACTAACTCCCTATTCTGCCTAGCTGGTGAGCTCCAGAGACCTACGTGTCTCTGTTGTCTTCCCCACGGTTACAGTGCTAGGGTTAGGGACATGAGCAACCGACCCTGTTTTTATGTGGGTGTTAGAGATACAAACTCAGGTACTTGTGCTTCTATGACAGGTATTATACCAGTGGAACTAACCATCCCTCAAATATACATTTTAAAAAATGTATTTTACATTCAGAAGCATTACATCCTATGACATTTTAAACATGTTTTTATGTTTGCTTTTGTTATTAGGTATCACAGTAATTTGATAGCTGCAAAGAAAAAGGACTTTTTGCACAAGGTATGAAGGATAAACCTCTGTGTTAAGTCACCATTTTTATAAATAATTAAGTATAGATATATAGGATGTGTTAAAAATAAGGAAAGGGATAATAGATGTTAATGACTATTTTATTTCTTTCTCATTAGGCAAAATCAGAGTTCAATTTCAACAGCAAGGTCTGTCGGGAATTTAATTACTATCTGACAGCTATGGTTTGTTGCCTATGGACATCCAAACCATTTGCAAAAGGACTATTCATTGATCTGCAAATCTTAGAAGACACAGGAAGAACAGAGTACAAAAACAGCTTAAATTTTATCCACCATCCTTCTCTATTGAGCTATGCAGCTTCTTTTCTGCTACAGGTAAGTGTATTTAAAGTGTTTTTAGATGTCCTATGGTAATACTGACTGGGAAAATAGGAAATGTTATATTTGAATTACAGGGCACATTCAGATTTTTTAGTGCTAACAGAATTTTGGTCATGGTGCTAGGCTTTAAGGGCGCTAAAGAAATCTCTATTCTCTGAGAGAGCTTGGGCTTGTTACAGACAGATTTGTCAACAAATTACTATAATATTGTGTGGTGAAGAGAGGCCAGTTGCAGTATATGAAAGATACTTAGTTCTACTTGAGTGTGGTGGTGCCACCAGGTAAGGAAAGGCTTCATAGAAAGAAGCTCCTGTATATCCCTCTTAAGATTGAAAGTGGAAGTTAGGCAATGTTTTTCAACTCTTCCTCGAAGCTTGCTGATTTACTGTATTGAAGATAAGTGGGTGTGGCAGGGTGGGTGTGTGTCTTCCTAGATGATTGGCAAGATTATAATTTTCAACCTTATTAGTGACTTGGGCACTATTCATTGGTATGTGTATCAAATGCTCGATAATACAATGTTAGGATTACAAATATGCTGCAAGAACTTAGAGTCATAAATCTCGTAACCAGTTAGAGCATTGAGAATTTTAACAATGAAAACAACACAGAGTTATGGAAATAGTCATTGACTAGATGTCTCAAATATACATGTAATGAGCAAGAGCCATCTGGAGGTTACTCTTAGAGTACAGTGTGTAGTTGGGGAGACTGTCAATAAACAGCTTTTGTTTATGGCTGAGGCAGGAAGATCAAGAGTTCCAAGCTGGTATGACTCAAAATCAAAACCTCAAACAAAAGCAAACACCAAAACAGGTTTGTAGTGCACATGGGAAGCTGAGGTTAGAGGTGAGGAAAGTTGTAAATTTGAGACTAGCCTGGGACACATAGTATGATATTGTCTCAGAAATGAAGGAAGGAAGGAAAGGAAAGGAAGGAAGGAAAAGGAACAGCCAAAGGACAATGTGAGGATTCCATTTTCTCTATATTCTTTTCCAATGCTTATTATCAATACATATATATATTTGGCTATACTAAAGGGCATGAGCTAATATTAATTGTGATATTGACTTACATTGCCATGATAACTGGATAGTTAGCACTTTTAACACTTATTCTCCATTTCTATATTTTCTTTATAAAAATTATTCATCCCATTTGTAAGTGAGGATTTGTAATTTGTAAGTGAGGATTGATCATCTTATCCCAGAACCTCTTCTTGTTTAGCTTCTTTAGGTTACAGAATTTAGTATGTTTGTCCTATCTTATAGGTCTACTGTCCACTTATATGTGAGTATATATCTTGTGTGTCTTTCTGCTTCTGGGATACCACACTCAGGATGATCTTTTCTAGATCCCACCATTTGCCTGGAAATTTCATGATTTCCTTGTTTTTAATTGCTGAGTAGTATCAATCCTCACTTAGAAAGACAAATGGGATGGACATTGGAAGTAGGAGAAAACAACAAAAAAAGAACAAGAGCCTACCATAGAGGGCCTTTGAAATAGTCTACCTAGCAGTGTATAAAAGCAGATGCTGAGACGCATAACCAAACCTTGGACAGAGTGCAGGGAATCATATGAAAGAAGGGGGAGTTAGTAAGACTGGAGAGGATAGGAGCGCCACAAGGACCAAATATATCTGGGCACAGGAGTCTTTTCTGAGACTGATTCTCCAACCAAGGACCATGCATGCATATAACTTAGAACCTCTGCTCAGACATAGCCCATGGCAGTTCAGCATCTGAGTGGGTTTCTCTAATAAGGGGAACAGGGACCATCTCTGACATGAACTCAGTGGCTGGCTCTTTGACTACCACCTCCCACCCCCATCTGAGGGAGGAGCAGCCTTGCCAGGCCACAGAGGAGGACATTGCAGCCAGTCCTGATGAGACCTGATAAACTAGGGTCAGATAGAAGGGGAGGAGGACCTTCCCTATCAGTGGGCTTAGAGAAGGTCAGGGAAGAGATGGAGGAGGGAGGGTGGGATTGGGAGAGGATAAAGGAGGGGCTACAGCTGGAATACAAAGTAAATAACCTGTAATTAATATAAAAAATAAAAATTATAAAAAATATTCCGACCTTTTGTTCCTTTGTGTGTGGTGAGTGTGAGAAGTAACTCTGGCCGGCCTCACACTTGCTATCTGACTGAGGATGATGATCTTGAAATCCTTATCCTCATGCTCCCAACTTCCAGGTGCAAGGGTTATAGGCTACCGCACTGACTATATGAAAGTTTCAAAATATCGATTCTTCATATGACAGGAAATGTATAATATATTTAACATGATGATCTCTAATTTCATTCATTTTCTTGCAAATGATATAATTTCATTTTTCATGGATGAGTAAAACTCTAGTGCACATATAGCTCTCTTTTTACTGTTTACTTCCCTATAGAAATCTCTGAGCCACTGTTTTAAGCATGGGGCAAAGTAGAAGCTTCTAGTCTTTGGTATACCCCAGCCAGCACTGGACTCTCTGCCTAGTGAACATGCTGAGACAAAGATGAACATTCTGCTTTTCTTGGATGTTTGCAGCTGGAATGTAGCCTTTCTCCTAAGTTTGAGGTTTTGGTGGAGAAAGGGAGCCTTGAGCACTTAGCTGTACTCTCCAGGAAGCAGCAGGTCATAGATCCAGTGTCTCAGACATTTGCTGTTCTAATTGAGGTTTAATAGAAATTCTTCTGTTAATTTTTTATCAGTTTTTATCTTTTTTTTTGAGACATACTTCCTATGTAGTCTAAATGGGCTTATAACTTAGAATTTTCTTGTCTCTGCCTCTCAGGTACTGAGATTACAGGTGTCACCACTGTGTCCATATAACAAATGTTCCTGAATTAATGTCTCAAAACAGACTAACATATAAAAACATTGGACACCATTACATGGCTCAAATATGCTTTTGCGTAATAACTTTGATCTGGGACAAGGTTTTTGTTTTTGTTTTTGTTTTTGTTTTAAGATTTTGGGATTCAAAACCAGTCTCAAACTCTTAACCCTTCTACATCAGTCTCCTGAGTTCTGGAATTAAAGATAAGTACTGCCATACCCAGCTACCCTTACCTGCTAAATAGGAATGATAATATATACTTGATTATGTTGTAAATAGTACATTTCATGATCTATGTGAATCTCAGTATGCTTGGCATATAGTAATTGCTTGGATAGTAGTAGTTACTATGTATTGATTAATTTGCATCACAGTTCAAGAACATTTTGAAAATTGTTTTTTATCGTTAGTCATTGTTTCTCACTACTTGAAAGCTATACTTCAAGACCAAGGACAATGCCCCTCCTCAACAGGTTTACAGTGTCTGGGGGCAATTTTGGTTTTTACCAGTTGGAGAGTGGACATGCTGACATCTAGTGGCTGGGAGCAGAGGTGCTGTTAAACATCTTGGTGCCCAGGATATTCTCTGAAGACAACTTTGTGGTCATTATTAGTAGTCTATTTTGAAAGTGTTTTGATATCCTATATCCAACATGGTTTTTGTTTACCGTTAGTATATAAAAGGCTGGTTTAATCTTTTTGTGATTGCCGTTGTAAAATTTAATATAAATAAAAGCAATTCCTTACTTTTGATGATTTGCTTTTAATTGTATTAAGATCTACTATTTTATACAACGCTTCACATATATGCAAGTATTCTATTGGATAAAGTCATTAAAAGTGGGGCTGCTTTCAAAGGTACATTTTCTAAGAGATTTGGGGGTATTGTTAGTTTGCTTTTAAGTAGAAGTTATATAGTCTTATATATCCACCAACAATGAATGGATGCTTATTTCTCTATATTCTCTCAATACAATTGCAGCTTCTATAACTCTTAGTTGGAAAATTATGTACTGAATAAGAGGTAAAATAGATTTTTTTTTTCTTGAGAGACAGAGCATGAATGAGAGACACTTAGACTACTCAATGTTCTGAGTAGTGAATATTAGAAGGTTGGTAACTTATATACTGTTTTAAGTCAGAAAGTGATTTTCAAAATATCTAATGAAGGTTCATTCTAAGGTGAAAATTTAGCAGCATACAGAGTATATCTGGCAAAAAGTGAAGCTGCTATTTTTGTTTTTTCTTGATACTGTTCCTATAGAGTTCAGCAAACACGGTTTAAAAGTAATATGGTAAGCTGGGCAACTATCTAAATACTGTACTGTTCTGGTGTTGGTTATAACCTCTGATTTAATTCTAAAATTTTACCTTACTGGTATATTCAGTTGTAAAAATTTCAAATCAGTGAGATTCTCTGTATTAAATGCCTTAGCACTGGAAGTACTTTAATTTTAAAAAAAAAAATGACATTTATTTATCTATCTATCTATCTATTTATTTATTTATTTATTTGTGTTGGGGGAGTTCTTTTTTATTTTTACATTTTTCTTTCTTTATTAATTACACTTTATTCCCTTTGTATCCCCCCTGTGGTTCCCTCCCTCCTCCCATCCCAATCCTTCCCTTCCTCTACCCTCTGCATGCATGCCCCTCCCCAAGTCCACTGATAGGGGAGGTCTTCTTTTCCTTCCTTCTGATCCTAGTCAATTAGGTCTCATCAGGAGTGGCTGCATTGTCTTCTTCTGTGGCCTGGTAATGCTGCTTCCCCCTCAGGGGGAGGTAATTATAGAGCAGGCCAATCAGTTCATGTCAGACACAGTCCCTGTTCCTATTACAATGGAACCCACTTGGATACTGAACTGCCATGGGCTACATCTGTGCAGGGGTCTTAGGTTATCTCCATGCATAGTCCTTGGTTGGAGTATCAGTCTCAGGAAAGACCCCTGTGCTCAGATTTTTTGGTTCTGTTGCGCTCCTTGTGGAGTTCCTATCCTCTCCATATCTTACTTTTTACCACTTCTTTCATAAGATTCCCTGCACTCTGCTCAAAGGTTGTCCATAAGTCTCACCATCTGCATTAATAGTCTGCAGGGCAGAGCTTTTCGGAGGTCCTCTCTGTCAGGCTCCTGACTTGTTCCCTCTTTTCTCCTTCTTCTGAT